AAAGACACTATGCCTAATATTTTAAGGTAAATTATGAGCGAAGGTACTTAATCAGTGAAACTTTAAAAGACTGAAGGCTAGGAGATGACATTACTTCAGAAGGCAAAGAGTTCCAATCATTAATATATCTATGAAAAAATGAATATTTAAAATAATTTGTACGGGCAACTTTAGGCCTTATTTTATACTCATGCTTACTTCTAGTTCGAGTTATTCCAATAATATCAAAGTAATGATGGCAATTGATATCACAGTAACCAAATATAATCTTATACGTTTGAACTAGGCTAAGATATTTCCGTCTCAGTTCTAAAGAGTCCCATTTTAACTCTAAAAGTCTTTCAGGATATTCTTTGTCGGGGCCACATATTAGTCGGGACGCTCTTCTCTGAATTGCTTCGATTGCCTTGGTGTGTTTCACCAGATAAGGATTCCAGACCCTTACCCCTTAATTGCATTCGATTCACCCCTGCAGACTTCCATAAAACATGGGTCTACCCTCTGAAGAATATGGGTCTACCCCTGAAGAATTTTGTGGAAATTAAAGCTTCACCCCCAAAGAATTCCATACTTTTTTACTCTACTGCTTAAGAAATCCTCAATTTTTAAAGCATACCCCTGAAGAATTCCATTGGTCCTTAACCAGAGGGATGGATATTAAATGCAATAGCCCAATAGCAGTAGAATGACCAGTGAATGACTATTGTATTTTTTTTATTAAAAGCACTGCAGTGCTTGGAGGTTTGATGTTGTCCTCATTCAAAGGAAGCAGTCATTAGAAAAAAAGCATGAAAATAGGAAAAATCTTAATTTCTCTAGCCTGCGATCCCAGTCATTACTTTTTGGGTGGAGAGAGGCAATGACCAGAAATATGTCTGGTTTTACAGGCTACAATTTCTCAAACCTCCAAGTAACTAGAAATAAAACTGTCTTTCCTTTCAAGGTTACCCCAGTAAATTTCATCCCTTCCTATTCCCTTGGAGGCTTGGAAAGTCGGAATTGCACTGTATGACTGCTATCTTGATTCCTGTAGTTTAAGCAGGATGTAATATGTTGATGATTTCCATTGTCGATTAAAATTGAGCGTCCTCCATAAATGTCGATACTAATCAATCAACAGATATCTGAAATTGATAAAAGTTGATCATAAAATTTTGTGTGATTTTCAGTTTCTATTGAAATTGGTGTTATAGTTTGATTTTTATCCGAAAACTGTTGGTAGATGAAAAGGATCAGAAGCAACAGTTTCAATATCCACTAACAAATTATTAACAATGATCTGTTCAAGAAGTTTTGTGGCATATTAAAGTGGACGAAGGACTTTTTAGAAAGTCCACTCGAACTTTGCAACATTCGTTTGTATGTTTTTTTTATCTGTTTGTAAATGAGTAGTGTCTGTGTGTTTGAAGAATTGTGATGTCCAAATCCTTCTCCTTGCGTGGCATTCATATAAAGTTCGCATAAATCCTCAACTGATATTCTCAGAAAAGTCTCGGAAGTCTATCGAAATTCATTGCCTGTCCTGAGATCATTGTGATTATCGACTTTTATCAACAAATATACCTAATCAATCAACAATAATATTATTTACAAAAATCGGAACACTATTGACTTATTGGTTAGCGTTGCGATGACTGATTTTGATTGACATGTAATGTTGTCCTGAGTTCAACTCTAGGATTGTGTTTTGCTCCCTTATCTCAGGTTCTCTGTGTCACCTTGCAGATTTCTCTGTGTTTTTAGTTTCTGTTGGTATTGGGATGCTTGCTTGCTTTCTGTATAGCTTACTTCTTCTATCTGAACAGAAGAACATTTTTTGCTCTCTAAAATGTTTTGGAAGAACCAAATCTTCTAAGACAGTGTTAAAATAGGTGCTTTTACCTTGAAATGGGTGTTTATAAAGTCCCATTGGGTGCAAAATGAATGCATTTACTATATCTTACAAATCTCTCACAAGTTTTAGAAATTTTGAAAAGAGTTATTGGAAAGTTGTATGATTGTAGCTTGTTCAATAAACTGTAATACATCATCTTTGGTTGTGTTTATAGGAATAAAAGTCATCAATATTATTGTTGTTTTGTAATGCTATGTATGAGTGGTTCAGAGCAAATTTATTTAGTTTTCAGATTCTACCCTAGCCTCTAATGAAGACATTGCTTGCCTGGCACTGCTCAAACAGTCTTGCTATCTAAAGGCAGCCCAAAATCACATTATTGCTTTGTGGTTAGTGTGTATTTATCACTTCAGTGGACTTTTAGGCTTTGTTGAATAAACACAAAGCCTAAAATGCAACACCAGTTCACTCAAATTTTGAGTTCCATGTTCCCAAATTTCCTTCCCCTTCCCTATAGAACGCCTGCCACACAGGCTAAGTTTGAAAGGTCATTGTCACCAAGACCTGTACAGATCTCATTCTGGGTAGGACTTAATATTTTTCATTATCTCTGCAGTGCACATTTAAAGGCAGCACTTACTCAAGGGAAATAGTTTTAAGGCTGTGAAATATGGAATTTTTCAAAAATCCACTGAAAATTCCAGTTAGCATTTCTGTGCCAGTTTGTTTAGAGAGTTGGTACGAAAGCATTCCAACTTTCTCAACAGACTCACATAGAAAGGCTTGCTTTGCAGGCTGGAATTCAGTGGAAACTTACTACTACTATGGTTGGATCAGATTACATTATTCAGCTTTTATTAAATATTTTACAAATTTTGTAAAATGGCATTTTTAACTTTGCCAAATAAAGGTACTGCAATACCCTTAAAATCATCACTTGCAATTTGCTACACCTTTTCCAGTACACATTCACTCACGTAAAAGGAGGATATGAGGACAAATCTTAGATAAGTAACCCAATAAAAAGTGGACAACAAATAAATCCTCATAAAAACTTATAAAAAATCCTCAAAAATGAGCACTGGCGACTAAATTTTCAGAAAACCGTTTTGCTTATAAAATACGACCCCAATCAATCGGCTAGTATACAAAGTTTATGAACTGAGTCATCCAGACCCTTAGATAACTGGGGCAGCACTTCAACAACAAAAATGGGGGCCCAGTCTCCAAAAAAGTTTTTTGGCCCATTTTTTTGTTTCCTTCGGAGACTGGGCAATGTGGTTGCGTAGAGGCCTGGGCCAAGCATGGCGTTGTTTGTCGGCAGCGAAAGGCGTTGAGGAAAGCAAGTCGAAAATAAAGAACGGTTTGTTTGTCAGAATGAAAAAACTTAAAGGGGCTTCATTTAAAATGACTATGGGGCCCCATCACCTGGACCAGAGACATATCACTGTCTTCCATTCATCATTGTTGTTTTTCAATTTTTTGTCCCTGTCTTCCATTCATCATTGTTTTCATTTTTGTCCCTCACCAACTACATTTTGTTTCTACTGTTAACAGTGTGATAGGTGCCCAGAAGACTCTGCATAGAGTCACACGAATGGGTTGCAGGGTGTGCTAGCATGGTAGTGCTTCACTCTCTAGAAATGCCTCTAGACATCCCAGGCAGTGACCACCGACATGCAGCTCAATGCAGTTGACTATAAATAAACAACACTGTTAGATACCCAGACATTCCTCTAGCTTCAGTACAGTGTATATATATTAGTTACAGGCCTTTCATTTCAGTATTTATCACCTGATCACGAAAATGTGCAACTTTGTTACAGGCTCTCTACAAATAAATATCATGTCATACAATAATAACTACTGATATCCACTGCAATATTGAGTCAGGCATTTTGCTCTTCATTATGACTTTAACATATGCACAAGCTTGTTTTGATACTCTGCATGATTGTGTACTGCTGCAAGAAGTCCTCCTTCATTGGCTGGCTTTTCTGCATTACCATATTCAATTTCAACATTATCTAATGTTGTCATCTTGCCACCCAATGTTCTCAGGAGGGCATCACCAGCACAGATGTCCCATTTCTTAATTAACGTCACATGGACATAGGCATCAGCTTTGTCCTCAAACAATGACAACACTTTATAGCCTGCACCACCAGCAGGTATCACTTTGGATTGTGGACCAAATGCTGATCTTACCGTAGCATTTACTTTTCCTGCATGTGATCTTGAAACTATCACCCTTGGTGATGTTAATGCAGCATCCCTTTCTTGAGAGACTTGAACGTTATCTGAGGATCCATGTCCCACCCAAGCCCAGTAGGTCTGTTGTAAAAATGGTTTGTGGATTATTCCAGCTACAGGTTTTCCTTTGACCACAATGCAGATCATGGTTGTGACATATTTAACAAGGTTTTCAGTATATTCCTGCGTTGCATCAAGTGGATCAATCCACACTAAAAGGTTGCCAGTAGACACAACCTCATCTTCCTTGTTAAACTGTAAACTGCCATCAATAATTTGCGATGTTTCTGGCAGCTTTACATCATTCAAATCAACATCCCCATGGTCATGTTCTTCAGATACTACATTTACTTTAGGATATGCCTTTTTGAAGCCATAAAACATAGTCCTGTGAGACAGCATGTCTCCTTGTGTTACAGGATTGTTAGCTCCTTCGCGGGTCTTTCCTTTGCTTTCTTCCTGTAAAATAAGCAAGAAAGACAAGGAATGATTGGTTGCAAAATTATTGATTTCCACTTTTTGTGCATTTTTGCCACTTTTACTTTGCGTTCAATACACCTTGCTTGCCCCCCAAATTTTTCACATTAAGCTTTGACTTAAGTTTCTCTTGGGACAACTGTAATGCTGGGGAGATATTCCAAATTTTTAAGGAGTTTTATGGAAAATGCACAAGTGGCAAATAACAGTACAACAAACTTTGTAAGTTTAGAGTAACATGTTATAAAGTTATGAAGATATGGTTCAGCAAAGTCGCAGAATTTTTAGACTTTTCATAGGTGGGGACAAGTCCATGTTCCCCGCTATAAGAAACATTGCTTTTTTTGTTAACAAATTGAAACAAAATACTCTTTTGTTACTAGAACCAATACACTTCTAGTTGTGATTATCATTATTATACATACGAACCCGTATAGAATGTTGCAATAGGCCACTTTCAAGATATTAAAATTCTGCACGATAGCAAGTCTTGGGGGACTGAATTGAAAGAAATGAATAAACATATTTATTCATTTTCTTTGTTTGTGTCCTCTAAGGCCACATCCACACAAATCTGGATATGCCGAAACTGCATACACGAATTCTGTGTGGTGTATCCAGTTTGGATTCACTTGCCCACACGAATATGCTTCTGTAATAAATAGGAAGTATCTTTCCTACTTCTAGCGCTTTTAGCCAACATTTCTCAACCTGTTAGAACAACAGAACATTGTTGTCTGCCATTTTAAACTTGCAAAGTGTTCATTTAAGCCTGGACCCACGTTTATGATGTAGTTGACGTAAAAAAATATCTGGTTTTAGTCGTCCACATGAATCCACCAAACCTATCGGATCCAAAATAATCCACTCTGGAAGACAGTTTCAAAAATATGCGGTTTCAGTGCGTGGATTCACTGGTTTCATGTGGACGGAAGGCCGATTTGTAAAAAAAGGATGCAGTTTCAAAAGTATCTAAATACATGTGGATGGCTGCGGCAGGGCCTAAGAATTGCTATCATGCTGAATTTTAATATCTCAAAAGTGGCCTATTTTGCTGAGCTGCGTGTTTCTGTCATATAACTTTCAAACTTGGCACCTTAACTGATATGAAGATGCTTTTTGTTGAATATTCACTAACTAATCCTCATTAAAAATTGGCAGAAACCGTGGAAGTGTATATTCTTATGGAAATTTTTCCACAGCTAAGAAACTGAGAATAAACTACTGTCTGAAACTATGTTGCTTGTGCATGTGTGTACAGTTTTACCCAGGAAATTTAATTTCATAAATCATGGGGAAATGGAGCTAAAATGTAGGTGGTTTACGCATCGCCATAAGAGATTTTACTCAGCTGTTTACGATTTTAACTTGTATATGTAAATCACAGTTGTACACGTTGACAGTTCTCAAAAGTTACTCTTTCTTGCCACGACGCAACCATGCATTCCAAATGTTTAACCAACTGTTTACTTTCATTATCAGCATTGTTGTAATAAAAGTACAATTTCCGAAAGAAATCATCGGTTATGTTATGTAACCTTGGAAGATTTTTTTAGAATTAGAAAGCTTAAACTGTTACATGTATGTAAGATTGCTTTCTTCTCCAGCTAAGCGGTGCATAGCCTAAGCTTGAACCGAGGCAAGTTCAAGCAACTTTTGCTTTCCCAACGTCTGCATCTACAACTCTACTCAAGTAAGGGTGTATCAAGAAGTTACTTACCCCTAGATCTTCACCATTTCGAATTTTACGAACAACAACTCCTCCTTTCTCGGCAAGATGAATTGCAGTCACAATGAGTTTTTTCATCGAGACTGTGTCTTCCCCCTCAAAATACTTATGCGAAAACTCTCCAATTCCTCCATCAGTCGATAGGTAGTAAATTACCGCTACAACTACAAGTCCTATAACTACAAATCCGATTGGAGACAACCTTACCCGCGCAGCTCCCATCTCTGAGAATTGAACAGAGGAGTCTCGAACTTTTGAACTTTCGTTGGGATACATGAAGTGTTTTTTCATCGTTCCCGGACCGAGGCTTTGTGAGGCTTTGAATTACGATAATCACGTGTTACATATGCACGCGTATGATTGGTGGTGTTATTCAAATGTGACCAATGAGCACAAAGTAAAACGTTGGAACACAAAATTCGAACTGGAGTTCGTTCTCATCGAGAAAACCATTACAAAATTTTGCAAAGTTTAGGACGCGATTTTTACTAGTTTTCTTAGCTAAATCATCCATCTTGTCAGTCTTAGCAACTTAACACATAAGCTTTGTAAAAGTTAGTATTTTGTTTCGGATAGGTTAGGTAATTATGGAAAATATTGCGAAAAAGAAGTTCGCATATGATCATGCATCGTCCTACAAGTCTCGTGGAAGATTGGGAATCTCCAATCGGAACGTCCGTGCTCAGCGTGCGAGCGAAAATCGACACCAAACCAGAATGGATGAATTGTCCAAAAGAAGAAGAATGCCTTTATCTCCCCTGGCCGATGAAAACGTGATTGATAATAGCAGTGCAGCGAAAAGCACGAGTGGTGAGCTTCAAGCTAGTACATGTAATAATAACGACAATCGTTGAGCGTTCTTATTTACTAGTGTTAGTTCTCTATTTTCATGTAGCTCTCGTATAAACTTACTTATCATTTACATACTACAATTCACAAAGGTCTTCCATCACTGTGAATGTTAAGATGTTAACTTGAAAAAGCTTATTGTGCAAATTCCAACAAATTTAAGGTCATCATACTCGACGAAAATTTAGGTTTTGAAAAAGATGTGCAAGATCAAAAAAAGATACTGCAGTGATTTTATTGATGCTGATTAGACTTTTTCTACAAATTGCATTTATAATTATTCATTAATGAGGTTCAATTTTATCTTTGGTTTAAATTTTATTTTCCTGTGTACTTTCACACTCGTTTACATGCATTACCATAACCAAAAACAAAGGAAAATAAAATCAAAACTAAGGATAAAATCAAACTACAACATCTAAGCCTACCTGTAAACACTAGTACAGCAGAGTGAGATGCATGCATGCAAATGTGCTTTGGCACCCAGTAGTAGTGTAACAGGGTGCAATGCAAGCGCTGTAGTTTATGTAAAATTGCAAGCACTCAGCCCAGGCTTATTTACCAATGATCTTGTTTAGATAAACAAAAGGACAACACTACTCAACCAGAGCTTAGCAGAAGAGAAAAATTAATGAAGTGGAGAGAAGAACGAAAACTTAAGAAAGGAAGCGAAACTCATCAGAAGAAGTCTTTTGTGGTTCGTCATGTACAATATGACAAGGATGCTAACTTGTTTGCCAGTGCAATTAAGAAAGCTACAAAGGGTGGTCCATTGATTAAGCCTAGCCAGTTTGTGACACAAGAAGAAAAAGCAGTTAAACGAGTAACAAGAGCTTCAGCAAGAATTGCAAAACAAGCGTCATCAAACCCTCCATCTGAGCCGAACAGGCATGGTGCTAAAAAGGCAGCTCCCAAATCTAAAGCCGTAGCTAATGGTAAAATAAAGGAAAAGGTTAGTTGAAATGTACAAATTAAGTATTTCTGTAACAATTACCCTAAAGAGGTTTCAAAATTTTTTTGTCCCTGGGTTTGCCAGTGAGAAAGATGAAGCTAATCCTTTGTCCGGATTAGATAAAAGGCTGTGCTCTAAGGAAAATTGAAGGGAGCAGAGCTGAAAGAAACCAGGATGGATGAAAGTAAGATTCTTGGTTTGCCTCAAAGAAAATGGCTCTTGTTCAGTGTGGTCTACAAGAAAATGCTTGTTCAGTCTAGAAGACTGGAAATTGGCCTTGTGCTTTTATCTGCACCTTTAATTGACCATGACTTTGTGGGAAAAAATAGTTGGCCAATATCCATCCATCTCAACCTCATGCTTGATCAATAGTGCATGTCATACCAAATAAATTACTAAGCCCTCTGGTCACAAAGGGAGATTCACCTTACTTACGGCAGACTGAAAACTTCAAAGCTTTAACACTATTGAATATAATTTCCTGGTTGTATTATGGTGGATCTGCCCAGTAGCCTATTAATTGTAAGAGTTTCATTAGCACTCATACATGGTTATCCTGTATAATAGGTTGAAGTGAAACCAGAAAAGACTGCGAGTACCAGAGTTACAAGACAGAGTGTGCGAGCAAATAAACCTTCAAAGGGCAAAGGTGTTGAAGAGCCATCTAAACCCAATCAAGGTACATTGTTTGTTGTACACTGAAATTATAATTCTAGCTCAAGCCACAAGGGGTATTAACTAACAAGGGACAGTCAGGTTGGAATGACTTGATCATTTTTAACAATATTTTTTTGCTTTGGCTTCAGATTCAAAGAACCAAGTAAAGACCAGATCACAAGCTAAGGAATCAAAAGACCTGCCTCAGAGTGAGACTTGTCCCTCCAATCCTAATATAGAAGTAGGGGAAAATCCATCAAATTGTGGAAAAGCAAATTTTCCTGCACTGGAAGCCATAAAGAATACTGTATCACTTGGAAGAGGGAGCACTGAAGGTGTGGAAAGAGGCCAGACAGGTTTGGGGTCTAATAATGAAGCTTCATCATTTGCTCCTGCAGACTTCAAGTTCCGCGCTCCCAGTGGTATCAACACTTTCACCTATTATTCTAAAACTTTCAAGTTTCAGCCTCTTAGTCCAAACAGCGCTGCAGAATTCATGTTTCCAACATCAGCATCTTCATTCTTTAGTCCCAAGAAACCAGCTGAGAAGAAGGAGAATTTCTTTGTGGAAGACCCTGTTGTTGCCTTCAATAAATCCATTACATCAATGGAGAATAAGAAAGAGGACAGTGCAAACACCAGTACCAAAACAGAAATCTGCCCTGTTGAAAACATGGACGCATGTGGTGGACCTACCTTTGATCAAACTCAAACTGATGTCTCACAAGGTGACAATGCTGTATGTTCAAGTAGCGAAGTTAATGTAGAGGCTCCTGATAAACCTGATCGTGAAGTGGTGGGTGAAATGGTTTTAGGAATGGAGGATGGTGATGTTACAGAGACTCAGGGTACTGGAGATGAGCAGCATGATGCTAAGTACTTCAGGAATCTTGTGAAAAAAGAAACTGACGGGCTGAATGAGATCTGTGCAAAGTGGGAGAAAATCAGTGCTGAGGAAGAAAATCTTAGTGAAGAAGGTATGGTCAGGTTTCTGCTTTAGTATGATATGGAATGTCCTGCAAGGCTGTGCTCTAGCAGCACCCGGTGGCCCCTGGCACCTAAATTTTGCTCTCGGGTGACTAGACAATCATAGTTTTGTCATAGCAATCATTTTTTGAGCACCCTGGATTTTACAGGTTCAGAGCACCAGGGTTCTTTTCACTGTTTTTCTTAGTTCACAGCCTTGTCCGTAAAAATTACTTATTTACAGATAATATTAGAGTCGTATGATCTGCCACTTTCATATTTCCCACAATACTCCTAATGTTATGCCCAGAAGAAATCAAAAACAACTCTTATGCATACTTTGGGGGGCGGGGGGGTAGGTAAATGAGGTGTATTATGGGAAATGCAAAAGTTGGCAAATTTGCTAAATGTAGATGATCCTGTTTCTTGTCTCATTAGAGCACCGGCTCACCACATGCTTTCTATCCCTATACCCCTTTAAATGGGTTCCTCTTAAAAAGCCTTTCAAGGGGGGACATTTTGCTCTGAGTTTCAATTTTTTTGACACAGTTCTTTGTCAGACCCCCCTGATGTAAATCCAGCCCTGACGCTCCAATAATGATCAAGTGTAGCTTTTCACATCCACCCTCACTTGCTTATTAAGAAAAAAGACAAAAGGAGGCTTGCAATGTGTTCACATCTGAATTCCTGTACTTTATTTATTATAGTATCTGGACAGATAAGAACCACAATTGGTCAAGCACAGCTGTTGATTGATCAGAGGTTCCGTCAATTTTCTGGTCTCGTTGACTTGAGTGAGGTACACTATAATTTTAGTCTTAATAGTATTTAATGAAGGCAAGGTTTACCGTTATATGCTTATTTTCATTTTCAATGAATCTTGTCCATGATTTCTTGACATATTTTCTCTCAAGTACGGAAGAGTCATAAAGATAATTCTTATTATCAATTTCCTTCTTCTGTAGGATAAAAATGCTGAGAAGCAAGCAACTGCTTCAGACCTTCAGGGATTCTGGGAGATGATCTATTTTCAGGTATACAATTCTAACATGTATATGCTTTATACGAGAGCTTCTACTGTAGATGACAACAAATGACTGGGGATACGGTTACAGCACACTAACAGGGGTTGAAGCGATCAGGGACTCTGCTAAGTTTTTTCCCTCTCTACTAAGGTTGAAGATGTGAATGCTAAATTTGATGCCTTGGAAAAATTAAAAGAGAACAACTGGCAAGAAGAGGAGAAGAAAAGAAAGAAGGTCGTGAGAAAGATCAAGGCCAAGGTAAGTTGCATCAGTGATTGTATCAGTACGGAAATAGCTACAGTAGGACATTCAGGGGGCTTCTTACAGAACGTCTAGATATGTTAAGGTAATTGAAGGAGAAGAAGCAAGAGCCCTTGTAAAATGTGATGTCACTTGTTATACTAAGAACAGTTTCATATTTGCTTCAGAAACCAACAGCAGGAGAAGAAACCAAAACCAATAGCAAAGTTACTGCTGCAAGGAACAGAATTCAGGAAATGAGACTTGCAATGAAAGCCAAGATGGCCGCGGACAAGGAAAAGCTGAAAGCCGAGAAACGACACCAAGAGGTTTGTGTGTGACGACGTTTTGCCCAAAGTCACCTTTCTGCAGGCTCATTGTGGTCACTCTCATGAGTGCTCATTCTAACAATTCAAACAAACGCGCGAGGGTATGTGCTTCCCCTACCTCTTGGACAATCGGTGTTCTCCTCTGCGATGGGAATATTTCCAGCTAACGCAATTTGAAATCAACTGGTCGTTTCTCCCTTTTCAACATTTCCCAAGCCGGATCATATAATGATGATCTTTGAACGTCTCCTTTCAGTATGGTCGAGAGAGAATGCAGTACCTCGTTCTCTCTTTGTATGGTACACCTCCATGAAGGGAGACAAACCCGAGTTATTCCCGAACTTTTAGGGAAAGAGAGCTTAGACTGAGATAATTTATTGTTAGGCTTGGTGACAAACGTAACTCCCTGAGCTGCGGTTCTTCAAAAAGGAGCTTAAACCAGTAAAGTAGCAGGCCAGATAACAGCCATAGCCACAGACTACTTTCATATTCCCGGCGATATAAAGTTACATTTGATATATTCCCTTACAGAAGCCTTTAAGCCAAACTTTAAGTTCACTACTGATATGGTCTATTTAGGAGTAACTGGCTTTCCACGAGGGTTACAAAAACTAGAGATTTTTACATTTTTTAGGAAGAGGCCTTTATTACTATTCTTACGCCAGTGAAAAAGAGCAAGAAAAATCATGGTAAGTTGCACTAGCCTAGTCTTGGGCGAGCGAAACGCGCTATCGAGCGGCGAATGTCGCTTCACCTCCCGCGTGCCGCTTGCGCGTGTACTTTTCACGTTATCCACAAATGGAGAGCTTTCTCGCAGTCTAAACAAAATCTTGGAATTGACGTTTAACTGCAAGTAGATTTTATGATGTGCTAAGGTGGGAGGAGGAGATATCTTGAGACTGGACAAGTCTTCCGAAGCAGGAGTGACAGTTTATATTCTGACTAACGCATCAGTCAATTCCACCTGCGCCCAGGCCCCCCCGGGCTGACCCCCGGGAATTAGCATTTTTTTTGCCTTGGATGGCAAATTTCCGGGGGTGGGGACTCTTGAGCTGGCAAATCCCCCGGGGTGGGGAAGAAAAAAGAGGGCAAATGCCCCGTCCTCTGTCAACAGTGCAACATTTTTTATTGATCGCACAGTCCAATAGTGTAATTTTAAAGTGCGATTTTTTGTTTCAATTAACGTCTTCCTTTGCAATAGCGCTAGGATTCTAATTAAGACTTCCCGCCGCGACGACATGCACCAGTTTATGGTTTTAGTATTGACATAAAATTTTTGACATTAAAATTAATAGAGCGCTGTAAAGTTATATGTTATGAATAGATTTATAAATATGAAAGGGTGTTCTTCAAATAATATCAACAGAAATTTGATTCAATAACCAAAAAACGTTGATTCACATCGATAGCTCCAATTTCGCTATGTAATTCTGGCTTGATAAGCAATGAATAAATGCATACATACATGTAAAATCGAGAACATGCCTTTACAACCCTCTACAATTTATTCCTGTCCTTGACAGATGAGCCAATATGCTTTTTTCCAGTAAAACCTTCTGTGTAGTTATATTCAGATAGGAAACCGCGTGCGTGTCAAAAGCACGGGAATGGCCCGGGGGTTGGCAAATGTCCGGCCCCCGGGAAGTGCAAAATTTGCAAACGCCCCACCTTCGGGACTGACAAGGCGGGCAAATGCCCCGCAGTAGCCGGGGGCTGGGCGCAGGTTGAATTGACTGATGCATAAATAAATGACGGTTCTTTTGAACATTTTTCTTGCAGACGGCTTTGATGAGGTTGTGTTAACTCCAGTTCGTCGATCCATTCGTAATACTCCACAGAAACGAACAGCACTTAGGAACACCCCTGTTATCGTGTCCACACCTAAAATAATCAGCGAGGACAGTCCAGGGCTAAGACTTACACCCGACAACGTTAATATACCTAGTGATATGACTGACATTGGATCTAGTGTGGGGGCTGAAGGAACTCGCGAGGAGGCCACGCGCAGTGAAACTAGCGAGGAAGATGTCCCACAAGATGGAATGGAACAGAATGAAATAAAATTCGAGCAAGAGGCACCCGTGGTTTTGAAATCAGCTTGCAAATCTACCTTGAGCAAATCGGGAAAAACACCTGGTAGAGTTACTTTTCAATCACCAGCAGGGATTGGAGACCAACAGAGGACTCCCGAATGTAAAGAGGATGCAGTGGTTACACCTGATAGCCAGTCGATACAGGTAGACTCGCCAGCTCTCTCTACTCCAGTAGAGACAGAAGCGTCGAGTCGAAAAATGTCCTCATCTAAACGTTTTTCGGGAAGGAAGTGCCGTGGTCGAGTAAGTACACCGTATTACCAAAACGGAACTAGGAGAAGGGTGTCTAAAGTGGATGAGGATGTCAACAGTCAGAGTGAACAGAGTGAAGGCCAAACCTCGTCTGATTCTGATGGTGCTGATGCAAAATCAGCAGAGAGCTGTCCTCGTTCGGGCTTAAGAAGATCTACGCGCAGAACCCCTTCCAAATATCGCGATATCAATGCATTACAACCTACAGAAGCTGAAGGAGCAAAGGTGAGTGAGAGAGAAATGAGCTTTGCGAAAGTCACGAAAAAAAGTTGGAATTTTAGCGATAGCATAGCCTTTACAGTACATTTGAAGGTCTTTTAACGGACACTCTCGTAAGCGGACAGTGCTACTTACGGCCACCTTCATTAAACCCCGTTTCAACTCTTATACAAACTCTGTATTTTACATTCCCGTAAGCGGACAATCCAGTAGGCGGCCGCGGACACTTTCACTGTATATTAAAACTCCATCTAGGAAAATTGGCTGCGAGATTAAGGGTAATGTTTACGTATCCTTACGTCCGTGAAATCCATGTTGAACGTGTTTTGCTCCTTACTGCACCGCACAAGCCAGCCCAGGACAGTAAACATCGAGGAGTTTTATAATGCTGTTTTTTGAAACATTCTTTTTTTTTAAGCAGACTCCGGCTAATATTTCTGTCAAGTTGTTCCACGCCACTGAAGAATCTTCATCACAGGTCGAGAATATGGATATACCTAAAAAAGTAAGATATCCCAGTTGTGTGTTTTTTCTATCATGTCATCACTAGGGGAAAACGTTAGCTATTTTGAGAACCATGCAAAGTTCTCACAAAGACTTTTTTTCATTCGAAAGATCACACTGTAGGATTTCCTCAACAGAAGCAAAGGTTACAACTTAGTATCATGGTTTAATGCTAGAGGGTTGGAAAAAGAGTCAGTTTTATGCTTAAATATTGTCGAGCACTTACTAGCTTATCGTCATATTCTTGTCTACAGGATACCCAACAGGACCTGTTTTCTAAATATCTTTGCCCGTCTTCGTCTGATGAAGACGAGTGCGCAAACAAATCAGAGTCTTCAAACCACATGGCTGGTAAGATATAAAATTTGTACAGTTGTGTGAAACTTTGCACTTGCCGACAATATTCCTGCAGGACCATCCTCATGTCACTCAGTAATAACTGAACAGAATCAGTATCTTTTCTTATGCTACAAAACCTTATAGGAGTATTAAACAAATTCAGTTCGATCACGTTACTAAATAAACGGGCTGTTAAGTTCAACAAAAGGATTATAGTTTCAGCCTAAAGAAAGTTAGGTGAGAGAACTCATAAGGTGACATTTGTAATGCTCTCGGTTTATCTCAAAACGTATCGCTTGTTTTTAAATTTAGAAATCTATTTACTTTTCTTCACCAGTTTATGGATTTTTTAACTATACACAACGTTGCTGTATATTGATATTTTAAACCTTTTAATTGCAGATAATGTTTTCGAGACAGACGCAAATTCTGCCGATTACCTAAGAAAAGAAGTAACCTTCACGCCACCCGAAGAACCTGAAACCTTCACAACCAATAATGCGTCCAAAACAGGCAGGACACCCATACACATTGTCAAGTATCTGTCAGAAACAGACACACCAACGCCAAATTCCCGCCAAATCACACCCATGCCCAAGACTACAATATTTGTGTCACCAAATGGGACCAGCGAGACTCCCGCGATTATGGACAGCTTAGGAATGATGTCACCGGAGAATGTCGTCCGCCGATTTCCCGCGCAGAGTGAGGCCTCGCCCGTGCTATCGCTCGTCGATGTGGCGGGAAAAGAGAGTCAAACCTCTGTGACGCCTTCCAGTCAACTGACTGCTTTTCATCTTGATTCACCGGTGAACAACGAGACAAGGCGAGACTCCGTTTTCTTTGCCCCGCTCCAAGGTGCGGGAGCTGTTAGGGCCCAAGAGAACCTGATGTCATTTTCACCTGTCGTGGAAGGAGATTAAGTAGCTACTTGTGTGCACCATTCATAAACTGTAAATTGAACTGCAAGAATATGTTCGGTAACTTAAGTATGAAGACATTCTCGGCTTTCGTTACACAATGGCTTTTCAGTGGTTGCTGTACCCTTTCTATTTACTTAAACTTTAACACGAAAGCGCAGTTGAGACTTTTTATATTAATATCTCTCATAATCTCAGACAGTTTAGTACGTCTTTCGATCAGCGAGACTTTTCAAGGTATAATGTTATTGCCACAGGTGTTCGGCCCAAAAAGGAAAAAACTATCATATTAACCACCCAAACGAGCAAAAACAAGACGAACCATGGAATGCGAGTATCAGGAAACTGGTGAATTTAGCCTAAAAAGCTTTTTACCTCTTTCCCTCTTATCCTTACGCTGGCGTTTTATGTAAAACAACCAAGTGATAATTGAACGTAAAATTCTTGTCTTGTTATTGTTGTTTTGACCACTTGTGTGGAAGTTGATTTGTATCTATTTCAACACTGTTGAAGTAGATACAAATCAACTTCAATTCCTCTTTGGTCCTCAATTTTTTAAGAATAGAACTGAAGAAACATAAATGTGAAAATGACAGACACGTTCAGCTTACTCTGTCATGAACTTGCTAGATCTTGAACATGGGTCTCAATTTTTAAACGTTACTGTTATGAAAGCAGCAAATTACTTTGGATAAGAACAATAGTTTATACTGATTACAAGTTCAAATTACAAAGTGTTAGCGAATTAACATTATTAATATATTTTATTAGTGTGGATTAGCCCTTGTTTTGTCTTTTATTTTAAAATTGCCTCTAGTTAGTTCACCCAAAAGCGCGGAAATACATATGGATTATATGGCGCCAAGAATTAACTATCAGTCACTTTTAGTGGGACAGGAAACTGAATCAAGATCAGCTTCTTACCAAATTACCCGAATTTGTTTTAATGCTTGCATAGAAATTAAAGAGGTTTGGTTAGAATATAGTTCCTGCCATTTCCAAGCTTCCCTTGATGTATTGCCGTAATGGTTTTGCACGTTAGAAAAAAAGTGTTCTTTTTTAGGAGGTTAGTGTAAATATTAAAAAATAAAATTGGGCAAAAGTATGCTCTCTGCTGGTAATTACCACCCTAAAACGTTTCTATACCATTGTTTGTTTTTAACACTTCTGAACTTTTGACGTTGACTACGAGAACAAGAGATTTTTAAACACGAGGGGTATTTTATGAACTGAGTTCCCTAAACCGGACTGTCCCTATTTCCAGGACACTAATGTCCTCTGTCAAAATTTCTGTCTTCATACAAGAAGTAGGGCTAACCCGTTGACGAGGCCAAACTTTCCACCTCGCTATTTTCTTCACGCAAACTTAAACGGACGCGTGCTTTGAACATTTTGGCGTCTTTTTCGGTCAATACATTGCAGTATGGAAAATATTGTAGCCTAAGAAAACTTGCTTCAACCAATCAGAAGCAATACCCAGATCAGGGTAGTGACACGTCATCAGTATGGAATTTCTCTGCTCGTTAGTCCCGAGACGTCGTTTCGCGGGCAAACCGTTGGTGGCATCGCGAAATGTCAAATGTCGGCAGTTTTCTCAGGCTAAATGGAAAATTGTTTATTTTTTCAAATAGAGAGCTTTGAGGCAGCAAAGTCCAGACCTAGACACGAGATTTTAGAACCAGGTTCGCGCATGCACTTCGTGTAAACATCTGTCCTACCTTTATGTCCTACCAATTCACTTGAGGCCTAATCTGATGGTGCATAAAGTCTGCTGAAAAGCCTGAACAAAAAAGAGGTGTCTGTTAGCTGTCCCTTGCGTTCTAGACGCAGACAATTTATCGAGGAACAAATTATAGTTGCGCGCACTAGGGAACACGGAAAGGTTTTAGTTCAGTATTACCAGCCACGGGAAGCCGCAACGAATTAGCTCGTTGTCCTCTTCGCCTTGCAGCCTCAATAAATTCTTGCGTAATTGTTCGGTGTCTAGTGCATTTTTATTACAAGTAGTGTAGTGCCAGGGGTGTGTGTACGGAGTGTACGGTATGATCTAGTTCTACTTGACGACGATTCCAAAGAGTGTCAGCGCGAAGACACAGTCCTGTTTTACGCCGCTTTTGATAGAAAAAGAGTCTGGAGTAGATCCTCAAGCTTTCGTGATGGGAAACAATCATGCCAAGAAGATTGGGGGCATCCAATCTTCTCTAACAGCTAGAACAGACCCTTTCTACTCACAAGGTCAAACACCTTGCTCAGATCACTAAAGGCTAGATAGAGCGGCTTGCCCTGTTCATGTGACTTCTTCTGTAGCTGGCGCACAGTGAAAATCATGTCCGTGGATCTTTCCGCCCCGAAACCGCACTGGAACTCAGGGTATATGCGGTCAACCAGTGCTTGCAGTCTAGTGAGGAGCACGCAGGCGAAGATTTTGCCGACAATACTCATGAGAGAAATGCCTCCATAACTGTTACAGCCTAAACGGTCGCCTTTGTTCTTATAGAGCGTGATGATGGTGGCGTCACGCATGTCTTGGGGGACGGCGCCCTCCTTCCAGCAGAGACAGAGAACCTCATGGAGGGTCTCAAGGAGGGCAGGCTTGCCGGACGTGATCTCCTCTGGTGGGATGCCATCACTGCCAGGGGCTTTTCCGTTTGAGAGAGCATCTACGGCCTTGTCAAGCTCTTCAATTTTCGGCTGAGCGTCAAGCTCGTCCATGATTGGGAGAGGAGGGATAGAGTTGAGAGCAGCATGACAACCGTCTCATGCAGATCAGTAGAGTTTATTATTGTAATTACATAATATTAGGTGCATTAGAAGGTATTTTTCCCGTGATTCTTCATTGAAACGCATTCATGAAGAACCAAACTTAATGAGTTACGTTCATGAAAAGTTCGACGTCTGACTCAGTTAAGTTGGTGTGAATAAGTTTGGATCGTCGAACACGTTTTAGCCGTCTCCTTCAGACGGATAGAACGTCTGAAGATCGTCTCCAGGATAAACGTCGATCTTCACATGCGACGAGCTAAACTACTAAATTCAAAATTTGTATGATAGTGTATATTTAGCCTCGTTCGGGAGAAAATTTATTAAAACTGTTTTTGGGTCTGATCAAGAGGAGGTCTGATTCAGTTGATTGGTTTGACGCTTCCTGGCCACGTCTGACCCAACAGCCAATCTTAAATTAATTTCGGTCGACCCAAAATAGAATTTGGATCGTCTCATGAAAAGTTCCACCTTTGGCCTAGGCCTTAGACTATTGCATCAGTCTTTTGTATGATTTACCGAAGTCACACAATGTCAAACTGCAACGTATTCAGAATAAAGCAGCGAGACTCGCTAGTATTCTCATATTACAGCCGCACTTCAAGATCTTCACTGGCTGACTGTTCGCGCTCGTATTCATTTTAAGATATTGATTTTAGTTTTCAAGGAAAGTCACGGTCTTGCACCACCATATTAAAGTGATTTAATTAGCGTTAGGTCGAGGTCCTCTTACAATCTTAGATCGAATAGTAGCCTCATACTGGAGCCGCCTAAAGAGAAAATGCTTCCTACGCTTGGTGCCACATCCTTTTATGCTGCTGAGCCATGTTTGTGGAATAGTTTGGCCCGCTGAATTGCGCAATATCCAATCATTCCTTTTTCGGACAGGTTAGACTAAAAGTTTGATTTCATTTGGACCCCTTTTGAAGCTAATCTGATCTGATTTTATTATATTAGACTATATTTCTATTTTAATATTTATTTTTATTCAATTGTATTTTACTTTTCACATTTTACTTCACATTTTTTACATCATTTTAGAATAGATTTTTCAGTGAATTATCGTAAAGCGCTACTGATCAATTTTATGTTAATAGCGCTAAAGAAGTATTTTGAGTTATTATGAATAATATTATTTTAAATTATTATTAAGGTATGATTTTAAATCGAGCTTAGAAGAAGGTGCAAAGCTTGGAGGCGCATGGAGGTAGTCTGTTGGCACTATTGGAATCTCCGATGAGGCTCTCAGCCGAGCAAAGAGAGAAGGATTTAGACTGTCTGAAACGCAGACTAAAACTCGCTTTATTCGGCAGATTCTCGAGATGCACTTACTACTTTATGGCATCTCCAGTTGAAACAAGACAGCGAGCAGTCCCTTTCAGTCAGACGGGTTGGCGCTTCGCCGTATGCCGAAACAGTGAACGCGCCGCGAGTTTTCAATAGACCAATTCGGTCCTAATGAAGAATTTCAGGAAAAAGTGGTCCACCTCCGAAAGCGGTCCTTCTTGACCGGCTAGTCCCGTCAAACCAAAGCCTTTCCGTCCCACTTAACAAAAACATCACCTAAAGTTCGGTGGAACGCTTTGGTCCGAGTGAAAAATTTCGGACCAAGACCGTAGGCTCTTTTAATTGGACAACGTCGTTCCAGTTTTTCACAAGTTTGTTTACGCCATGATCTCTGACCTGGTAGCTTGCGAACGCAGACATATTGCCGGTCCTCGCTTCTCTCCACCCGGAAATTACCACTAACCCTGCAATCGGTTTATTTTCCGTACATTTATAAGAAAGACTTCTATTTTGTTTATTTCTTCGTTTCTTAGTCTATTATACAACGGGGATTGCTATTTTATGTCCCCTAATCAGTTTTGTGAACCAATTAAATGGTTCCTTTAAAGAATATAATGAGCGATGTCCCTTGCTGTAGGTGTGTCATGCCAATCGAGAAGAAATTACGTTGATTATACTCCTTGAGATTTGGAATGAGACTTCTATTACTATATGTCCTCTTTTTTACGAACATTATATACTTAAAATATCCTAATTTTCGGTCCACTGGCGCTTGCTACACTGATCGTTCATTTGCTATGTCAATTTGACAATGTATACTTCACGGGGAGGGGGGGGGGGTGTATTCTTTTCATTTATGGGTGGGGGTGTGCCGCTGGGACCCTAAAATCCTTGGGCTGTATCAGACAATGTACAGCCGCAAATTTGCTACCCTACTCCAGACCGGGCACTAAAAATCCCTACCACATACTACTTATGAATCTTCAACACACCAATCAATTTCCCATAAAAACTACAAAACCCTCTGACTCTATGCCCTATCCTGGACTATTCTGTTGGAAAATTCTACCCTTCAAAGGGCAACCCCCTCAAGTATTCTACATAACATCTTCAACTCTTAACTTTCTTCACGTCAGTTTTCGTAGGATTCCCTACAGTTGACTGGAAACCGGTTACTTCCACAGCAAGCTCAGTTGTCCGTACTTAAACACTTCACCATTAGCTCCTGAATTCACAAATTCTTGTCCGTTCCTATTTTGTGTTGAGTAAAAAACTGTGAATAAATTCCATGCTGAAAAAAGCGAAACGGCTTTGGAAGATCAAATCTCTTCCTTTTCTTCTCGCAAATGAAGTGCCCCTTTCTCTGAATAACCAGACAATAAAGAGAAAAGGCATTGCGAGTAGACTAGAATATGATCATGACTTCCTGTCGGTAACTTTTTCTTCTATACAAAGAGCCTGTAATATATTTTCCAATTTGAAGGATCTAGTTTTTGGATAATTTATACTTTAGTTTATCAATTCAATTAAGTCTTTAAGCGGTGACCTGCAATGCGGGCGTAATAAGTTGTTTGTTTTTGTCGTAATGCCGTGGCCGCCATCTTTGACTTTATCACCGAGGGGAGGGGAGAAATTAAAACCCTTGGGATTGGTGTTAGGGCTTAGAAAGGCGACGGGGGAAAGGGAGGGGAGAAAAAATTTCCCTCTCACCGCCCCCATCCCCTTTCCCTTTGACAAGACCAAAGTTCCCTCTTTTTTTTTGCAATTCAATATGGCGGTTTTAAACAATCGAAAACACGGCGCACCTAATGAAAACGCCTGCAAGGCAAGCTATTTAAGCGGGGGTGATGCTTCGTCAAAACAGTAGAATACGTCTTTCCACAGGTTTGCGACACATTGGACACTCCTGCATCCTGTCTCCACACAACTGACATGCGCCGTGACCACAGAGGAATATCAGGTTTTTCCTTCGATCCATGCAGACGGGACAAAGGGACTAAAAAAAATCAAAAGAGTACAGTACTTTACCTCGTACACTGCTGCAAAAATACAAATTTATCATTAAAAATATCAGACCTATCACTTCAGGGATAGAAAAAAATGAGCAGGAATCTAGCGCAAGGGGAAAAAGAAATTTTGACCTGTTTACTCAAAACGACAATGAAACAAATATAAAGAAGAGTAGTCAATATGTCTGACATTGACATTACATCGGAAAGTGCGCAAGCCAGAATTTAAGTAGTAACTTTTTATCAGTTTGAATTATTTTTAGATAATTTTTTTTTATTAACTTTTTGATGCTTTTTATAATTGTTATAAGTAGTTTTTAGATAGTCATTTTACGACAATTCTCTTTCGTACACAAGAAGAATGTACATAGGGTATATATTTTAATATTCATATTCTTGAATCTGTAAATAGTCTATTTTTTTGAATCTATGAATAAAGTTATTTTTGTATTGTAATATAAACAGATAAATCAAATAATATATAATAAAAGCAACAACAAATTTACCTGGAAAACCAAGAATTGTTTTCTATTTTCCTAACTATATGGCCTGCAATACATACTGCTATGCACAGTGGCGGATCCAGGGAAGGGGCCCGCCCCCTTATTTTATACCAAACTAAGGTTCGAAGGGCCGAAAAAAATTTTTTTGATACTACCTCCCCCCTTGTGTCAGGATCTGGATGACCGCCCCTCCCCCCATTATCTGAAGGTCTGGATCCACTACTGATATATCGACTGAAACGTAGACTAGCGATCAGCCATCATCAGAAAAACGAAGAAAACCACACCATACGTACCTGCTCTTTCATATCTTGTAGCTGCTGTTGTAACTGAGTGAATTCTTGGGCACTAATTTCTGGTTTGGCACTTGCTTTCGATTGACAAGGGGCAGTAGCTAAAGCAAAAGAGAAAATGACTTTGGTGACTTCTTGAAAAAAAAGAAGAAAAAGAAAAGAAAAAAAAAGGGAATAAAACTTTTTGACCCGTTCTACAGTACATAATTTGTCACGATTCTATTTCTGTGCGATTCATTCTACAAAGCCTAAAGCAATCACTTGCAGTCGGGGAAAAGAGTTTTACATAACTCTAATTGGCTTTGACAAGCTTGTCCTCTTGTTATGGGCAAAGATTGCCCTTCATAGAGCGGTAGAAGGAACTCAAAATCTTGGACGCCACCACACCACATTTTGCTGCTACAAATATCGCATTTATCGAACCAGTACTCACGAAACGTAAGCTTCTAGTGGGACAAAAATGATGAGAGGTATCTTCTCAGGGCCTGTGTTCCAGAAATGAAAAAATTAAGTGTTCCAAATTAGGTACCTTGATTAATTTTCAAAGCTTGAATCGCCACTGATCAGTTTTGCTGGATCGGATTCCACTTCAACTTGACAGGGAGGGGATAAACGAAAGAGAAGATAGCGAGAGGGGTGGGCGATTATTTTAGACATTTCCATTAAAGGGGGGCGATTAATCGAAGGACGGCGATTATCCGAGGAAATACGGTGCGTTATTTGGTGATCATACCCATTCGCAACACCAAGGAACTATCCTGTTTTTGTAACAAGGTTATGTCCAAAATGAAGCTGGCCAATTAAGTAAAAAGGTTAACAAACCTTTCCCTCCGCAGCATACAATGAATGGAATAGATTCTTCAATGGATTCGCGACATTGAACGCATTTTTTCATTAACAATGCACAATCTGCAAAAACAAACAACGCACTATAAATACCGTAAGTCCTGGGGGGCTTATTGTTTTAAAACACATTTGAGGGGAGGGGGGGGGCTTAATAGAGACGGGGGGATTAATCAATTTAACAAGGACGATGGTGTCAGTTCTCTATAAAGAACTAGAATACAATCAAAAACAAAGCCGAACTGACAGCAGGTGAATAAACTCCACATGGAGAGTTACAGTTGCGATTGATTAATACAATTTATTAGTGAAGCATAAAAAGGTGGAGAGGAGGAGGGCTCGTTAACTTTCTTCCCCTGAAAAGGGAGGGCTTATTAGAGAGAGTGGCCGTATTTGACGGGAGGAGGGGAGGGGAGGGGCTTAAAAGAGGATTTACAGTATGATACGACGTGGTTGGGTTATTGCGTTTTCTCAAATAAGCATGCCCCCGATCAGGTTCCAACAAGAACGTGGTCCTTATTTGAACTACTTTACGGCTCAGCTTTATCTACGAGGAGGAATCGAATGGAAAGGTGTTGTATAAAGCGTGAACTGCAATAAACAAACTAACAACTAATAAACATACTTTCACAGGCAACCATGTGGCCACAAGGCTTGAACAGCATTCTTGCAATTTTCTCGGAACAAACCAGACACTCTTCAATCTAAAATTTCAAAGACAGAAGAAAAAATTGCGTAAAATGTTCGTGCAAATGCTCCATTAAGACTTTTTTACAATCTTTGTGATTTACATTGACGCAAGGTCGAGTATTCTGTGGTGTATGTGGAATAACTGAATATTGTAGACGAATTTTTCTCCACCAGTGCACGTTCCAACTACAGCGTAGCTCGATCACTTGAATCCAACAATGAAACTGACCCCCAGTCCCCGAGCATCACATTGTTTTCATTTCCTACACTAGTCTCATAGGTTGAAGCAATTTTCATTGTCTCCCTCAAACCCCAATAAAATCTCAATGTCTGAGTTTCTGGGAAAACAAAACTCGCTTTTTCCCTTGGGACCATTCGCTGAGTTCTAAATGAAGTCTGGTTAAAAGCATTGTTTTTCGTTTATTTCCGCCCTTTCTCTTATACACCTAGCCAAGATTTCATTCCATCGAAAAACAACTCAATTTGGTTTGGAGTCCTTAGTCCAATAAATTTTGTACAGTTTTTGGAAGATTTTTCGAATGTTTTTAATGCATAAAAATTAGGGGAGGGGGGTACTGAAAATTTTGGAAAATTGGAAATTATTGGATTTGGGGGTTGTTAAAAATTAAAATATGAAGTGAGTAAAAGTAGACAAATACAAGTCCACCACCACAACAAGATGCCCGTAAGTCCATTAGCGGACTAACTGGTTTATGTGTTTGCCTTTTATTTCCTTCCCAAATCAACATCATTTGCCTCTCAAAAGAGGGCTACATTTCTGACCTTTGTTCTGGACTGCACAGCCTCCTTGCACATGAGACACTTCTTGACACGCGATGAACACAAAGAACACGTGGCCACGTGACCACAAGGGCCAAACAGCATATCACGCTTCATGTCAGAGCAGACCATGCACTCGTCCAGTCCTTCATTCTCATCTTCGTCTACTAGTGAAGTGAGGTTCGAGTTGTTCTTCTGCGAACCACTATCAGAACAAGCAAAGAGGATGACTGGATTTGTTGAGTTAAGAAGGGTACAAAGGGTCGTTGTATGAGGTTTTGATTAACGGGAAATGTAGCTTCTTTGGTGGTAAACCTCCGAAAAGCCAAATCACAGTTCAGTGCCATCTTTCGGGAAAGAGATGTGTGTTTTTCGTTTTTAATAATAAGGGAAACTAGGAGACTGGGAAAATTAGAGACTGCTGAAACGCTGATAATTCGAACTTATCGATGTTAATATCTGATCAATTTTTGTCCCCACTGACTATTGATACCACATTTGCAGTGCGCCTACATGTTTGTACAGTCTCAAAAATATTGCTCCTCTAGGTGATTTTCAAGTGAAAGGTTGGGCAAAAATCGTCAGCTGTGATTGCCGACATGAAACCTACTGACAATTCCTCTTTTTAGTGGTGCAACTTATTGTTCTTCAAGGTAGTCCTATTCTAAGATGTACAGCAGCTAAATCTCCGGCAAAGATCAGTTACAAATGTTTGACTGACACCAGAAGCATAAATGGTTTTGCTGACACTAAATCGCGCTCCTGAAGGTGTCCGCAATAACAAGCGTTGACTGCAAATGAAACCCCAAGTGGTGCCAAAGAAATGACAGGTTTTAACTGGTATTCTTTGCTTCCGATATTTGCTTATGCTTTGTTAATTGCTAAAGTTTTGGGGAGTTTGTTTCCGACTATACCTGGCGCGTTCCTTGTGACATTTGGCCAGAGCTTTACAGAGATTAGGATCGGGGCAGAGATCCACTGGAGTTTGCCCTTTCTTATTCTTGATATTCAGGTCAGCTCCATTGGCAGCCAGGAATAACGCAATAGAGGCACTACTTTTCTTGTCTGCACCTTGTGTTCCCAAACCCATTAGAAGCTGTAAATAAACAAACCACAAAACATGAGCCAGTGTTTGGGTGCCGGTAACAGCCATGAACAAAGGGGAAATTAAGGGGACAACCACACTCTGTTTTGTAAGGCTGACAACCAGTCTTATGTGATTACCTAGCAAGACATACTGCCTAAGACTTGCGATAATTTTAAAACGCGTTCACTTTAGTTTTACGCTATTCACCGTCATACATACGTCGTTTTAGGTAATGATAAAATGCAAAGTATAGAGTGTTAAAAAGTCTATAGGGGCGGGATATTCTCGTTGCTACTTACTACACATTTTGTAGACCTGTCAGAACATTTTTCATTGTACGTAAGACAATTCAATTGAGTTTACTCTAGTTTTACGCCAGTTACCATTATACAAAAGTCCGCGTCGTACGCATGATAAAGTGCAAAGTATGTAGTTATAAAAGGTCTACAAGGGAAGGAGATATTCTCGACGCTACTAACTGTTTCTTGAAGAGCTTTCAGCGCATTTTTCACTGTACGAAGGTACTCTACAGGCACTACTTAAATGATGACTAAAAATCACCCAAATCGGGAGCCAAACTAGTTGGCTGGAAAAGGCATGGATAAGGTGTTGAAATCATGCAGGCCTACCAAAAAAAATGTCCAGCCAGTGGTAAGAGAACGGAAACCGGACTAACGGAATGGGGATTTCGAATCCGACGCACTAACTGGTCACCGTTATTTACCACATTCCTTCCAGGCAATCTTTATAGTTTCAGCTAGTACTTCGCTCTACACCCTTGGCGGTTTTCAGTTGAAAGCGGTGCGTGGATAGTAATTTATATTTTTTTCAGATTTCTTCCACACGAACCAAAAAAAACCAAAACAACTCTGCACCTGCAAATGTACCTTTTTCTACATGATGTACGCGTTCAGTTGTTTAAAGATTTGATCAGTTCCTGGCGGGGATCCACATCGGTTTCCACCGTTTGACGAAAAACGGTCAAATTTGATAAATAATTATATCAGTATTTATTCTAGATCCTTGCCTGAGTTCCGTTGGTTTGACTCTTTTGTGATGGAACACTATTGACTGCTTGAATCTAATACTGAATAACTGTGCTTACCTTGCCTACATCTTGCATGTCTTGTAGTTGCCGCAACTGAGAAAGCGTGTGATGTCTAAGAGACTCATGTAGTGGTGTATCCCCATCCTTGTCTGTGAGGTCTAATTTGGCACCTTCACGAACTAATAGCTACAAGAGAAAAAAGGAGGTTTCATCTCATAACAAGGTTTTTCGAATCGGAGCTCCGAATTAACAATAGAGACTTTCACATTCTGAGACGAGAACGACTACGAGTACGAGATTCTCTCAATACTGAGTGTTGCTCACGCGTGAATCAGCGTCATTTTGGCGGGAAAACGTGACAGCCGTCGTATTCTACCATGGATAGTAGAAAGACAGTCTTTCTGCTAGCCATGATTCTACTACGGGTTTTAGCGAGAAAGTCGTAGTGGCGAACACAACTTATCAAATGTAAGAAGTTTTATCATCCTGCTTCAACCTGCTATCGGGAGAGGGCTTAACCTCCTTCAGTATAAATAACCGTACAAACTTTTTTGGTGAAAAAATGGAAAATGAAGTTTTCGGGGCGTCGTTTTTAGAGAACACGCACAAAAACTTTAAGTTAAATCTTGTACTTGTACTCGTTCTTGACATCAAATCTAAAGCTCTCTATTGTAATGGACGTAGACCATAAAATTTGCATCAGGAAACGGCGACGTGAACAAACTAGTCGTCATATTCATAACACAACAGTCCGCTTTCTGGCTCTTTAATCTTCCTGACTATTTAAGGATTTGACGATCTCTCTTAGACTGGGAGATAACACTTACCCTAACTATCTGAGTGTGTTGCCTTTCTACTGCGAGGTGTAGCGGCGTTTGTAAGTTTGTATTCTGAATATCTTTATTCGCCTTGGCCTGAGGAAAAAAATAGCAAAGGTGACACAATTAATGTGAAATCAGTCAATAATTCTGCTCGTTAAAGCACGAAAACCTCAACAAACGTAAGAAGCAGAAAAAAGGACAAAAAATAAAACCAAAAGAAAAAAACAATCTAAACCTAACAAAACAAAAAATGCCCTCATCTCTTCTCTCCGTATAAAGAGATAAATGCCTTACATAAAATCTAGTGGGTTTACCATAAAAAAAATAAGAAGGTTCTCTCTTCAACTGAAACAATCGAATAAGATGCCACTTACCATTTACAGTTCGTTTTGTGCTAGGAAGGTAAAATCAAATAATTCTTGAAAATAACGACAACTCAAAGGGGATAGACGACAAACTCTCTGATTTTTTTGCAGGCAGGATGCCAAAATGTGTGCAATTTCACAACTGGTTTCGGCTGATAACAATCAGGAAGACAAGACTACCTCAAAGGAATAGACTAAAGTTCTCAGCCCTACTTTTCAATAAAAACTGTTTCATTTGTTTTACAAGCGAGATTTCCGAGCATTGCACTGTTTGCGTTCCCAGTTTTCCCTCTTTTTTGCTCTAGGAGACCTCTGGGAGAAGCAGAGAGAACAAGGCAGAAAAGGAATAGAGGGCCACAGCATACCTGTTTGACGAGTAACTCAGCCACTTCCGTGTGATTGTTGAGTGCGGCTAGGTGAAGAGCCGTGTACCCATCATCCTTCTTTTCATTCACAATCCATGGACGAGGGAGCTTGGAAAGGAGAATACGCATTGCACTAGACAAACAAGTATTATGTGATTAGATCAATCAAGAAGGGCAACATCACACAACAGCCCCCGCCCCCCCCCCCCAAAAAAAACAAAACAAAAACCAATAATTCACTTTCAAAACGAGGCTAAATTCAAAACCTTTCTTGCCAAAACGAGTTTTATTGCACTTAGTCTCATTTTTAAACAGAGGCTTGCGGCAATGGCCTATGGCCTATTCAAAGCACGGTACGTTTGAAGTATAATTAACAACCGTCTTGGAAATCAAATACGTTATACATGTACACCAGCTAACAAGAATTATCTTTGCAGAGCGTACGACTCAGATTTATCACCATTTTTGTACTTACTCAAAAGACTATCCGAGTTATCATTTCTGGAATCAGTAGAATTAATTAAGAAGAAGAAACAGCTTCTAAAGTAATTAATGGACAATTCTTTTGCATTCTTAAAGAGCAGAATGCCAAAAGATGGGTGTTTCTTGCTGTTGCGGAAACCATTATTGGTTCGCTTATGTTTGGTGGTGTGGGTATTGTTTAATGTCTTTTCAATCTATTGTATTACGTCATTTGGTTCCTAACACCTAGAAACTACCCAAAAGGTGTAAACCACTCAGTAGATTTTGAGGGCCGCTGTAAATTTACCTTGGATTACCACGTAAAGCTGCATGTTGTAAAGCATTAAAGCCATTGTTATTAGCCACTGTAACATCAGCGTTAGACTCTAGTAACATGGTAACCATATCATCTCGCTTCTTGGAGATTGCATCATGTAATGGGGTGTCTCCTTCTGTATCCTGATCACACAAAAAGGAAAAATAATAAAATCTTGTAAAAGCGTAACTAAAGATGGAGAGGAACCGCGGGAAAAATAGAGCCCAGCTAGAATAAATTACTGATCTGGGTTGTTCACACGTTGGAGAGCCCTTTCCACTGGATAAATCACTACCCAGTGGATAAGTGTTAGAGAAATAAATTGTGCTGTCTACTGGATAGAAATTTATCCAGTGGATAGCGTTTTCCATCTTTTGAACAACTGGGGCCTGGAGATGTACATGGAGATGTTTATTTCTCCGTCGATAAAATTTAACCGAAAAAAACATTCTTCGAGGAATACAAGGAAACGCAGACAAAAACAAAAACAGCCTCTGACAAACATAGTTATAAGGCTGTTAGCCCGCGAAAACATCCGTTTCTCCTCGCTCTTCGCCGCTGGGGACGTTTTGCGTGGAAGAGTTCCTCCACACGAAACATCCCCAGCGGCGAAGAGTGAGGAGAAACGGATGTTTTCGCAGGCCATAAGGCTGTTAACATACGTAAAACGTCTAAAAACAGTTAACCGATTGCATTCGTCACCGGTTTAAACAAGACCCTCTTTCCTTATCAAGGTCAACCACGAAACAGGAGACATCAAAAGTACTCGCCTGTAAGCTTGGGTGGCATCCCAAACCAAGAAGTTTCTTTACCACTGCTGTGTGTCCCTTATTGACGGCCACGTGCAGGGGTGACTGACGCCGTTTGTTTCGAGCATTCATGTCACTTCCGGCTTTGATCAACTGTTCCACGACTACACCCTCGTCCCCGAAGGCAGCATGATGGATTGCACGGTCACCGTCTTTGTCCTAAATGAAGAAAGTGAAACTCACTCCATATTTTTTGGTCAACAAATGAAATTGAATAACCGTGTGAAAAACAATTCATTGGGAATAGGATCCGATTGAAGAGAGGAAAGTGGGGCCTTTTTTGACCTCTTCAATGGATGTCTTCAAGATAAGTCCGATTTCTAATCATCTATCTCAAATACTCTAGCATCAAATTTATCTTTTTATAGCCTAATATCAATTACTAACAGACGTAAAATTCTTTTGATATTTTATCAACACACTTCACTCATTACTTCTTTAGATTTAGAGAGAAGGTATAATATATGAGCAGGTAATAAGAATTGTACTTACCGGTACTCACAGAAATCTGCCTGGAGCATATTGTTAACCTGAGATTATTTAGCCTGCAAGGAGGCTCACTGGTGCGAGTTCGGAGAAAATCTTGGCCTTAGAACAAGCAGGCACAGCCCGGGGGGGTACTTTAGGAATTTCTGGGTGGGGATGTGCCGCTGGAACCCTGGAACCCTTAACCTATACCAGAGCTAGTTCAGCTGAATTTTGCTACCCTATACTAGAGTAAACTCCCCAAATCCCCCCTATCCTAGAGTAGCTGTTTTTGCCTAGTCTAGGTAAAATCTTCAACCAACTGATCAATTTCCTGAAAAATGATACCCTATTCTAGACCCAAACGCTCTGATTTATATACCCTATCCTAGAGTAAACTGCTTGAAAACCATACCCTTCACAGTGGCACATACCTATATAGCCCATATATGGCAGTGCCCCCCCCGGGAGGCACAGCCTGTGAGAAGAATGGGGTGAGGAAAAGTGAGCCTCACTGTTGCTCCACCGCCAAAATTTCGCTGAACTCGAAACCCACACAGCTGAGTCTACTTGCAGGCTAGAGATGGTTACACATGTAACTAATTGAAACGCGAAAAATTCCTCTTCTCAGCCAATGGGAATGAGTAAAGAGAAGAAAGGAAACAAACCTCTGCCTCCAAGTCCACATCGAATCTAATGAGAACTCTGACAGTGTCTTCATGGCCATTTTGACTGGCAGCTTGAAGAGCTGTGTGTCCAGCAAACACACCATTGACCTAGCCAAAAGATGAAAGAGCGGTAATTATTATGTTGTGCAATATTTGGGCAGCAGAGAAAACAATTATTGTTGACTATAGTAAACATGACAAAAACGAATGATTCAACAACACCATGTACACTGACTGTAAAATAATGAGTGGGTTGAGGTGGGCAAAATTAAAGGGTGTTGAAGAGTGATGCACATTATGAACGGTCCCTGACTACTGAAAAATGATGCTTAGCAAAAAGATGGAATGTACATGTAATCCTGAAATGAAATGTTTGTCTCAAGATTAGGTCGACGGCTACAGAAGTAAACATGGAAAAAGTGCATTCAAACTTACATTGGCATCTTCTTTGAGCAGAAGTTCTTCAACTCTTTGTGAGTCACCATTAGCAGCAGCTTTAACGAGCTCCTCAACTGCATCTCCAGGAACATGAGTCTCAAAGAGCTTCTTCAACAGGGCTGACAATCTCTCTGCTAAAATATTACAAACAGCAACTAGTAAAACACACAGTCTAGCCCACATGCTTTCCAAAAAGGTATTGATTAACATTAACCAGTCAAATGCAGTTTAACTACGTTAACAACAAAGAGGAGCCAGGGCATTAATTGGCCAACAGCAGTAGCTGCTTTGGTGCATGTTCTGAGTACACTTTGCAATAAGTGTTTAAGGTGCATTTAAATGTGTTGAAGCATGCCAATTTCGTTTACAGTGTATGTGGTCCTTCTGCTTTTTATTCTGGCCCTTCCTTCCCAACCCTTTTCTTTTTGGTGTTAACACAGTGTGATGGGTGCCTGGATGACACTGTGTGGGGGCTTATGGCTGGCTTGTGGGGATTGCCACCCATGGGAGCAGATCACTGTCGAGGGGCCCACAGGTCACAGTGGAGGCCCCCCAGCTATCCCAGGCACCCAACTTCTATACACTGTGACACTACTCTTAGTTCTAACTGAAAGAGTAAATCTCACCACCAGCAGAAGCACCCACTGAGGGTGACTCAGTTCCAGATGCTACTTTAGTCACAAGAGCTGGATTGTAAGTCCACGAAGTGCCACAGATCTCCACCTGAAACGAAACAAAACATAATGCTGTTCTAAAAACTCCACAGACAAATCGCTCGACTGGTAAACTGGCCTTTGGAGATACAGTATATTCCAGACTGAAAATCTAAAAATTAATGGACCTTTAGATTGTCAGTCAAAATGGCATGTTGATTGAACAACACTTTTTAAAAGACTTCATGTCTTTATCAAACTGTGTGCTGACATGAAAAGCTATTCAGTATGGTATGAACACCCATTTGATATGTGTCTTGTGATTTTCCACTTTTAACAATTATTCCACAAGTGTGTGTTGGATATGAGATGGTAGATAGCCTAAGAGGCACGTAGTGCCGAGTTGGCTATAATCATCTCATATCCAACAAGTGCGAGTGGAATAAATGTTTTATTAAAAATGCCCATGAAATATCAAGAATTCTCTCCGACTTTATTTGTAAAAACAACCAATTTTCAGGGTGTTTTAATTTTGAGCAGATGCATACAGCTACCATATTTGGAGAGCATGGTATAATGGCTCATATACCATGATGGCTAAGCCAATCAGAGCTCTAGCTTTGCATTATCCAGTGATTCAGTTTTTAATGATAGAGATTAGTGCAGAGTAGCTTCACTCTGGTACAGAAATCACACCAGAATCACTGTCCTTATGTGGGAACAAAAGCCCTATCCAGTATGGCTTTTGTGCCAGAACAAAAGCTATCCAGTAGAGTGTGAACACAGCCTAAAGTTATTGCTTCTTTGCTGTTCTCGCTGCTGTTGCTGTTGCTACTATTACCAAGTCACACTAACCTTCAAGTCATTGTCATGGTAAATCTGCTGCACTCTACCAACCTTGCCAAGAGTCTGCAAAATAATTACCAGGAGTGTGAGAAGTAAGCACAAGCAAACTTTTGCCCTTCTGGATATATTGCAGTGATGTATTGATAGACACCAGCTTAACAGACAGATTAACTTGCTTTATGAACAAGAGTTTGAATAGCTCTTCTGGCTAAAAGTGATAAAAAATTGATAATGGATGTGCAGAAAATCCTGTTTTTCATCCACTGTAAATGTAAATAGAAGATGTCACCTTACATGTACATGTAATTAAAAATTACATTATTATAAGTACAAATTTACTTGTACATCAAGACCAAGTGCGCATAAGTCATTTAAGTCTGGTCTTCAATAGGGACGCAAGCATAACCATAAACATAACTTGGTTCTCACAAGCAATGCAAGCATAAGCATGCAGAACTTTTATGCAAGTGAAGATGGCCTTGACATATCAAAACCTTGTGTTCTTCTTATGTTTGTGTCGCTAGTGATGACAGGGCTTTAGAAGAATGCCCAAGAGTTTAAGGTTAAACTGTTCAAATAATGTTCAACATAAGTTACTCACTGGTAGCATTGCTTCAGCCCACTCGCCATGCCCTCTTTGAAGTAGTTTGACCCTATCAGCATCCTCAGTGATGCGTACCAAGTCTCCAACAACAAACTGAGATGAAGACGCTGTTCCTGATAAGGTGCTCGTCTGTAACGCAGTGTTCAGAATGTCAGCAGAAGGTGACATTATTGTGGAGGAAGTAAGGGAGAGAACACTATCAGATGATTCTGAGGAGCTAGTTACTTTGGTCAAGATAGCTGGGTTAAAGGTCCATCTAAAAAATGAATGCAGGAGAAGAAAAGTCAGTATGAGAAATGTCAAAAGCATCAGGTTGCTTTTACACCTGTAAACTACCTTCTTCATGCCTGATGGAACATAAGCCCTCTGCAGTCTAGCCTCTCATAAAATGTGTGATTTTTTTTCTGTTTCTAAGCTTATTTATTCCTTGTGAAACGAGTGAGATGTTCCACCATTTTTTTAATCACTAACAAAACAACTCAACCTTGTCCTCGGGTCTTCTCAGTTAACCGCTCAATAATCTGGCAATCTGCTGCACGATTGACATCATCTTTCACTTATCGCAAAATTCTTCCAAATTTGACAAGAGCTGGTTATGATGAATTATGCGTGGGATTTTAGCTGATCAGAAATGGAAAAATATTTTGAATGAATAATAATAATAATTATCTTTCACCTGTTACCAGTGGGGTACAAAACCATGATGTCATGATCTTCATCAATACCAACCACTGTTCCTGGAGTTGTAAGAGTCTGTAAATAAAAAAGAAGTTATTAACAAACAATGCATAAAACATACAAAGAGGATATTTCTTGGAGATAACTTTGGTTCTGAGGTGACAACAAATGTAACACAAACCATGTGACTTCAAGAGACTCAAAAAAAAAAACAAAGTAACCTTGGCTACTATCTAGCCTAATTTTTAATCAAGTTGGCCTCTAATCTGATCTTGGTGTGCATGTCTAGATAAGGTAATAAAGTAGGTAATACTTTATTTAAAAATTCAAAATACAAGAGAAAGAGAGAGAAACACCAGAGAGCCCCAACAACACTCCGCTGGTTTCCATGGAGAGTTTGTTGACAAATAAAAATCGTATATTAAATTACTAACCTAATACTAAAATTTCTTATACTACTACTACTACTACTACTATTGCTATAATTACAGAGAGTCATATAAAAAGTTAACTACTATTAAGATACACAGCTTGGCAAAATCCAGCTATATTAAATCTAATAATCTTCTTAAATGAAGAGATTGACTACTTCATTTTTCAACTACTTTCATACCTACCTCATACATGCCGTCAGTCCATCCTCCATGACCATGCTGCAGGGATTGTACAATTTCAAGATCCAGGTCAACAGTGACTTGATCTCCTATCTGTAATCCCTGACCCCTTGGACCTGATGGCCTGGTATCACCTAAATGGTGGAATTATAATTAAAAATTAACCATACATACATGTACATGTACAAAACGAAGGCTTAAAACATAAGGGCCATTGTTACCACATTAACCTGCAAGAATGTAGTGGTTGTTGTTGTTTGCTCTTTTAATTTAGAAATTCCATTTGTAAGTATGAAATTTGAATGCTTATAAAATACAGATGGTGAGGAGTAGTCAAGAAGATCATGATTAGCAAGTAAGCCAAGGTGTCAGTATTAATTTTTGCTGGTCATGAATGTAAAGCCAATGTACATGTAGACCTATACCCCTGTGCATTCTAAAAAGTCAATTGAACAGTGACTGCAGTAGGGTATTAAAGCAAAAGTTTATGCGTGCAAAGAAAGTAGTGTCTGATAGCCCGACACTAGTGGATTTTCCCATTGGCCTAGTGAATTCTGTTCTTAAATAGCCCAACTTTTTTTTTTTTAACAGGCAACTGACGTGCTTTAGGGAATTCAAATTACAGAGGAACTGTAATTCAATTCTGCTCATCTGGAATTTTTTTAGGGCTGGTTGAAACAACGTTTAGGCTAGTACATGCTAGCTACAGCTTGCCCAAATAGCAAGCTGTGAAACTGACTTTCTTTACACCCTGATATTATTGCATAAGTTGTGCTGCTTACCCAATAATGGCAAGTGGTCTCTATAAAATTGACCTCCTTTGGCATCACTGATTACTTTAAGATCAGCCTACACCACAAAGAAAACAAAAATAAAATAAATAAATAAGAAAAGTGTACACAATTAAATAAGCAGTCAGGTTAAACAATCGGATAAACATAATAACAACCACATTGATTGATTTGAATAACAGTACACTTGAATGTCATTATTGTTACTGCTTTCTTGTTTATGGACTTGAAAGAAAATGGGGTGACTGCTGTAAACTGATGGATTGAAAAAGTACACTACATTAACATAAAGTGTAAATGTATGCAGGTTTATTCTCTTACCATGCCCTCAAATCCAAGTCTATAGAGATTTTTTGCACCATTATCCCACAAGACATAGGCAGCACTGCGTGGACTTGTTGTACTCCAGTCTTGGATTTCAGTTACTTTACCCCTGCGACCTGGACCACCTTAAACACAAAACAGCAGTTAAACTGTTTTCAAATACAAGAGTAGAAAATGCCACATTGTGCCTTCACAGAGACTGTGAGTAGCCTCTAATTCATGAATAATCAGGGCTAGGAGACAAAGGGAATTAACAATCAACCACGGTTAAAAACTTTTAACCTGAATATAATTTTGACCTGTAACATACACACTGTATAAGGGACTGAAAATCTTTGAGCTATCGAGCTTCATGCATGATCATGCAGCCGCCATCTTTGATTATGATAGAAACGTGATGGTGAATTTTACTACCCTTCTCAAAACCATGTGAATTCTGAAGTTCAAAAGCCCACAAACATTTGTGTTTTTTGCTGCAGTCAATCATCTTAGCAGACCTCTTAGGAAACAGAAGTTTACTTCAATGGGTTCAAAAGGTTGTGGTTTGTGATTTGTGATTGGTGGATTTCGATCCAGTTTGTGTGTTTCTTTGTTTCACGGTTCATTGCTTATGATTGTAACTGTGGCCCACTGACAGCATCGAAAAACGCAATTGTGAAGGTGGCTTTTGAACTTCAGCATTCCTGTGTTTTTGAAAAAAGCAGTATGCCTGATGAATGATATTTCAGTCGTGGCATAAGGCAGCTTGGAACACAAAATCTGAGTACTCCCAATAGGAGCTAGTCCTATAACCTTTGGGTTAGAAGTACATACAGTACATATAATTGTGTGGTAAAATGTATGAGACAGTATTTTTTTACCATCTTGATCTTCCCATTGCCAGTCTACACCACGCACAACTCTAGCACCTGGAAATATTCCTCTGGCTGTAATTTTTTTGCTTTTTCTACGTGCTTCAACAAGTGCTCTAGAAAGTACAAGAAACAGTACATGTAGTTCAGTATGTTTACATTCAAGAAGACTCATCAAGAAAAGGGCAGGAGACTCTATGTATAAGCCAGACACCTCTCTCAGATGGACAGTCAGGACTGGCTCTGAATGTGTCTGTCTCAGAGAGAGCTGACTTATAACAGAAAAAACCTACTTGCAAGAACCTTGATATTTTCAGGTGACCCTGAAAAGGTTTATACAGAAAATGTAGACTACAAAGGATTTTTGTAAACAAGTTTTTATTTCTGAAGAGGAAAATGTGAGACAAAAATATTTCTGTCAAAAAAACATGCTTATCACGGTCTATATGTAAAGTCACTGGCTTCATAACCATTTGCCTTTTTCTCAGCTGTTTCAGGTTATGAAGAAAAAAAATTTTTTTCTCAATAAATGAAAATACAGTCAAACCCTGTTAAGCGTCTGTATTAATGGGGTGTCCATATTAAGCAGGTTGAATTTGGAGAAAATGTAAGGGCTTTGTTTCCCCAGGGACAAAGCAAACTGTCCGTGATAATGAGGTGTCCGTATTGAGTGGGTACCCTTAAAGGGAGGTTTGACTGAAATATTAGGCTGATTTAGCAACAGAACGGGAACATCAGTCGACGATGGGATAGCACGCGAAAAGGAATGAACGTGACTTCCAGTGTCCAATTTGCCCTCTGCCATTGGGTAAACCAATAGTTTTATTTGCATCCGCCGTCATCACTGCTGTCTCGTTGTCTTTGTTTAATCTGCCTAATATTATTTTGTTCACAACAAGTACTGAATGGAACCAATAAGCTTTGGTCGAGTCTGACTACAGGATACAGGAAACAGTGTATTTAAATAAAATAATGTTGCCAAGTCATACAACTCAATAATTTATAAAAAATTGGACGATACTACGCAACACGAATGATTGCTTGTTTTTATAACGTTATCAAAAGGTGCATTTGAAAAAGAATGAAAACACAGACATTTTGGGGGTGCTCCCTATTTCTCAGTGGTTTAAAGCAACTGAACTGTTGCGCATGCTTTTTCAGTTGCTTTAAACCACTGAGGAACAAAGAGCACCCTTGAAACATCTGGATTTTCCCACCTTTTCATCGCACCTTTTGATAACTTTTAAAAAAAATCAACTGCATAATTTATCTCTGGTTATTTCATAAGAGAACAAAACGAACTGATAACAATCCCCAGGAAACAAATACTATATTTGTTGTACCTTTCTGCACTGGGACCATTTAATCTGTAAAATCTGTGTCGTAAATGATGTTTGTCTCCATGGTAACATACACTGCATAAGTCAAAGTTTGGGCAATCTGCACATTTCCATCTCATGCCATAGATAGGTTGCATGCGACACCCATCACACATACTTCCATCATGTTTTATCCCTTAAGAAAGATTTAAAAGGTACAATTATTATTGTGAAAACATAGCTGTAACTGCGGATAATATTTAAAATCTTTTAGTATACAGTAGTTACTCTTTTACTATATACTAAATATATATATATATATATAACATAGAATCAAGTGACTACAGAGTTTCTTTTTTTATCTCAGAAGGGAAAAGGAAACTCTTCTAGCATTACATGCCTAAAGGCAAACCACATAAGACCAAATGCATAAATGTTCCGCAAGAAGCCAGCAGCATTACCGGAAATCAACAAAATGTTCCTTCAGATTATTTTAAATATTTATTGTACAGTGTCTTCCTGTTTAAACTTGTACTACTTATGAGTTATCTCAAAAAACTAATGCAGAAAAAATCAAAGAGAGAATCCCAGGCTCTAAAGAAGTCCACGTTAGAAATACACTGAAGTTGAAAACATCAGCTGAATAGGATGACTAAAGAGACTTGCAGACTTGTGGATCGATTTAAACTTTTAATGCAAATTTCAATTTTGGCCCGCTTGCATGCATTTAAACTTGAGACTTCATTTGATGTTTCGTTTCTTGAAATATGTGATTGAATTTCTTTCATTTTAAAAACATAAGATTTTCAAAAGAAGAAGAGCACAGGGGAAAAGTATAAATCATACCAGTGGGGCTGCTGTCCAGAATTCTTAGATCGTAGATGCCAGAGCACCGGTAATTCGCAGCGGTACCATTATCCCAAACAACAACAACTTCTTGGTTGCTTTCGAAGTTTCTTACGGTTCCTACGTGTCCTTCACCACCATCTTGTTTTCCCCACCTCCAATCTGGTCCTCTGACAACTCTATAACCGACGTATTCCATTTAAATTCTGAAAATACTGAAAAAGCGGACGAAAATCGCGAAGAAAATCATCCGTCATCTTCCTTCCTTCGGGACATAATATCGTACATGTGTTATTTATTTGTACCCAGTGCTCTCTCGTCCAACCTCGACTTAATGTCAGTCGACGCAAGATGAAAATTTCCCCCCTGATCATCTGAGTCAGCTGTTGAGTGTTGTGCTCGGCAAATTAAAGAACAGTGTCGACACAGTCCTTATATCCCTACAGGGCATGGTCAAAAGATAATATCGAGGACATAATCATCTATGAAGATGATCTATTGACATTATGATCTACTGACGTGGTCAGTAGTTTGGTAGAAAACATTTTCTCTTACGTTGTTCTTTTGACCATTCCGCCTACAATAATATCACGTCTGAACATGAAAGTAGGCGTCCTGAAAAGGTTTCCTTAAGTTATCAGTACCCCAGTAATGATTATATGCGCCAGACCCCAGACCGAGTTTTTGAAACATGAGTTTTTTAGGACACCCTCCTTTCATAAATGGAAGCACTTTCGAATTTATATTTTAGGGCTGATTGGTACAAAACCAAAAAAAATGGCATTTACAAGTACGATTCATTTCTTTGTTTTATTTCCGTTAGCCTCGGAGTACGAATTTGATAATTCGAAAGTGGCCTTTGTTGACTATTTTGACTTCCTTTCATTCGGTTTCCTGAGGAAGTCGGTCAGAACTTGCGTCTGAAGGAAGTGGTTTGGTGTTTCAGTTGTGCAGGTGAGTTGAACCGTACTGAATGTGGCGTTTCAAATAAGACGAATAAGGAAGAACTGTAGTAAAAAACAACAACAACAACAAACTTGCCGCGTCTGGGTGCCAAGAAGGTCCTGATGAGGACAATGTCGTCGCAGGAACCTCCGTTCCATCCCTCCTCGGTTCCGTTCCTCGGACCATTAATTGTCGAGCTGTACTTTATTATTGCGTTCTCGCTGCCACTTTAAAATTGACCCACACTTGTATCTTGATAAGGCCTTGGTCTTACTAAAAATACCACTTAAGCAGGCTTTAATATGGCCGGGGGGTGGGGTAGTCACTCAACTAAGTTCACTACCGGGAGGGTCCTCCCCTAAAGTCCGACCCGTTGCCCTTTCATATACATATACCTTTTTTTGGACAAAAAAGGGTATCCTTTTCATACAATGCATGAATGAATGACTTGTTTATTGACACCTTTTGCAGCTTAGAGCTGAATTGCAGGTACAGGTCAGTTTCATAAACAATCATAAATAATAAATTAAAACACTATTAAAGTGGTAGCATATCTAGTGTACAGTTGCCTTCTATATCCAGTTTAGAACTTCGTATCCTTTTTAACTGCCGTAAGTACACCTTGAGAATAAATAAATGACAAAATCAGAACTTTAAACGTTTACTCAACTTTTTCATCGTTTTCACAGCCTGATGAAAATCAAATGCACGATCTGGTAGCCTTTTTCAGCCTTTTTACACGTAGACATGTTAAATTCTGCAAGCAGAATACTGCAATGTTGATCGTACTACGTGAAAATTAACTCTGCGAGACATCAACACGAAACCGAAAGAACTCAAAACAGAGCGGGATTGTAGCCATAGACAGCTGTTTCGCCCTCTTCGGGGCTCGTCAGTATGGCGTAACAACCAGAGAAAACTCTCAACACCCACAGAATCACGCCATACCACGTGTCTTCTGGGGGGCAAGAGTCCAAGTGTCAAGTTGATGTCTCGCAGAAAAAATAAAAAATTGGCAAAACCAACCTACAGAACATGGAACCAAGTAAGAATTACGGCATATCGGACCTATAAATGATCTACGGCCCCAGAATACATAAAGAACAAACATTAACCACAAAGGACTGCAAAGGACCGCAAACGAATATGCCGGAGAACGTAGTATGTATGAAGACATGATCAGCAAAAATAAAAATTCTGGTTGCAGAATTTAATATGTCTACTGTTCATTTTTGCTGATCAGGTCTTTATAGATCCTACGTTCTTTGGCATATTCGTTTGCGGTCCTTTGCAGTCCTGGTGGTTGATGTTTGTACTTTTTACAGGTACGTGTGGAAATGACAGATTTCCCTCCCCTTTCACATACCTCAACTAGAATGAAATCCTTTCCCTTATCCTATAGACCTGAACCCAAAAAAGGTTTCGGTAGGAGCCTCCCCGGCCGTACAGTCCATTATGGGAAGCAACTCCCCCGGGTAATATGGTAGGCAAGGGGACTGGAAACAATTCGGTCAAAGGCCGGATCACAGCATTTCACAACATTCCATCCGTGACCGACAAAACACTGACAAGACGTCACGGTGAATCCTGGTATTGATGTGGGTCACAAATACAGTCTTTTTCATCGTTGAGGAACAGAAGTATTGATTCATTTGTTCTGAAAGAACTAGTAACAAAGCAGACCTAGACTGTGGAAAGTTAACGAGAAGGTAAGACTCGATCAAATCTTGTCCGCGATTGCAGAGTAGCTCGTAGTGGAAGCGCGCCAAAGATCAAATTTTACATAGTTCGTGTAAGACAACAAATGTTTTCATCGTTTTTTATTGTACTTTCTGGTGGACGTGCGCTTAATTTTCCTTGCTACGTAAAGTGCGTTAAGCTTTAGTTGATGTTTTTGATATCCACATCAGATTTCAAAGCCGCTACGGGCGTATTATATAATTAAATTGGAAGCATTGTTATGTTCAATTACGGTATCGATCGATGCATGAATACCGCCATTATGCTAAAATATTAGTTGATGCAGGGCGACAAAACGCAGATTAGTTTTCTTATAAAGGCTTGCATTTTAATTTCGCTTTAATTGCGCTGGTCTTTGTTTCCTTTGACGTTAAATTATCTTTTCCTCCCAAGCTTTGCGGCTTCTGAGTTCGAATATTGAGCGATGGTCACGTATTGCAGCAATGCCTGTGTTTTAAGCTGTTGATGTTTAAATGATTTATGCCCTTTTGTAGGGGCCGAGATTGTCATAGGCCAGCTGAGAGGCGACAAATTTATTTTTAACTAGCCACTAACCTCACTAACCTGAAAAGTCTTTAGCTAGGCAAGATTGATCTAAGATCCTGCTGAAAGGCACATTCCATGTTTTATCCACCGTGACCCCCTTCCCCCTTTCGGAAGGCATGAGGATGACAGGATTTTTACAGATTCCGACATGCTCCCCTCACAGGATGCGTAGCAAGCGTTTCCGATCGAGTTATTGCGCGAAAGTTGGAGCGAGAGCAGAAAAAAATAAATGGAAAAAGGAGGAGAATTCATTTCCCTTTTTTGCTCTCGTCCCGACTCTCAGCTCGCACGGAACCATTGGCCACGAACCCTCTATAAGATAAAATAGTGATTCGGGTCCCTAATAGTATCTGGACAACGGTGTAGGCTATTCCAGGCATACATACACAACCCCACTTCGTATTTTTCTTTGCGCATTCCTCACTATCTGAACTTATAAAACAGGCTAACATTCTTAGACCTAGGATAGCCTGTGAGTAGGCTCACTCTTTATTCTCAACGGCTTTGCCGGCTTGGCCGCCAAAATTGTCCATGAACTCGCACAAATGAGCCGGCGAGCAGGATAGAACTAGGGAATCATCGTTTTTGTGAGACTGTTATTATGACGTGGAGTATTTTAATGGAAAGGGATTTGGTTCCTATGTGGCCATCAGAAAGAAATTTTAAGACTATTTTAATACTATATCCTTACCATTAAGTCCATTTGAGTTGTGGACTGTGCTTTATCTTTGATCGCTTTGTTCACAATGAACATGCTTTTCAAATGCAAAATTTACGACTTTTTGAATAGATCAACTGATTACAGAAAAACGCCCAACATAATGAGCGTGACATTAACTTTGTTGTGATGTGTTTGTTTTGTGAAAGTGGTTTTAGAAACTTTTGCAGAAATATAGAAAGACAGATAGACAGCCGCTTGAGGGGTGGTTAAATGAACGAAACTAAAAAACAAAAACTTAAAGCATAAAGATAAACTAAGTTGTCGAGCTAGAGTGCGAACACAGACATATTTCCGGTCGTCGCTTCCCTCCACCCGAAAAGTAACTTACTTTTTGAGTGGAGAGAAGCGACGACCGGAAATACCTCTGCATTCGCACTCTATATATACTATTCTAAAATGCGGGACACGAAATGATGGTTAAACCTTGGGACGTGGAGCCGAGCTTGTGTTATGTAGGAAACCGTGTGGCTGCTTTTTCAAAATATGGTTAGCCTGCCAGCAAGCTCAGTAAGTTGCGAGAAGTCAGCAGGACGCTCTTGCGCGTTCTCTCGCTGCTCGCCTTGGTTGCTACAAATGGAGAGCTTGCTTGGGGACAAAGATATGGTTTGGATTATGGCCGGGTATTTTACAAGCGTACCAATCTCATGTAACCAGGGCCTTAACGTAGGGTTCTCCGGAAGCTTAGGCGATTGGATCGCTGTATCTGAAAAAAAAAAAAATTAGTGAGGAAACGTAAAAAGTTGAACCTTCATTAAGGACATGAAGCGGCCACCCTCGAGGTATCGGTAAGTGGCCGGTTAATGGGGGTTGGCCGCCGAATAGAGGTTTGTCATAAATTAGCCTAATCTTTAACAGAGTCTGATCACTTTACAGTATTTTGAAACAAACACGCGACGGGCGAAGCGGCATTACTGGTCCACAATCCCGGGTCAACAATCAGTTGTAACCCCTCTATCTCGTGCGCGGCATTTTCCGTCACCACATTTTAATACTAAAGCCAAACGAAGTGTATCCAGCGCTTGATGACCGCTTAGTAGAGTTGACAACAACTTAAGGAGAACCCTCTTCGGGATGCCCAAATGGTTGCCGCGGCCGCTTAATGGGGTTGCTGCTTAAAAGAGGTTTCATTTACAAATCATTTGCACAATAATTTCGGGTTTTCGACTGCTTTTAAAATAGAGGGTTGCCGTTAAATGGAGGCTCAACTGTATAGTTTTTTTAATGGAAAAATTGATCTGTTGTATTTGTTTCTCCACACCTCTGTTCGCTAACAAGAAACTTATGATGTGAAGACTGAAACAGGCCGGGGTTACTTAAAGGTTCCATCATTATGAGAGGAACTCTTTTCATGGTCGCTCACTTGCGCCCTGAAACTCACTTTTCAAGGCCCCCCAAACTGAATTTTCCCGGGGTAAACCACTGAACTCTCTCTCGCAAGGAGAGAGGGATAACCCTCTACACGCGCGGTTTTTTAGTGTGTTCTTCGTTTGTGGTGGGTAAAGTAAGAGACAAAGCCAAAATGTAATCGACGACATACGAGAAAACGTTGGAGGAGGAGGCGAGGGGCCCTGCTCCATCGTTTTCTCGTTTGATCTCTTCCTTTACGAAACGCGTACGAAAAACACACGAAAAAACCGCCTGTAGCTTGCGTAACAGGTTTGTTTTTTAGGTCGAAAGAAGAAAGCCTCGAGGACGCGCGAGGAGAGATTAAAAAGGAGAGGAGGCTCCTCTGCCCTTCGCGAGTTCCCCTCGCGCAGCCTTAAAAAAATAACCGGCGCCGCTTAAAAATGCGTTAAGGCGCTCCAGATATTTTCATTTTTTCAGTGTTAGTCCTACTTTAAATTTTCTAGCGACCATGAAAAACTGCGGTGATGGATCGATTTTAGATGTGGAAACTGTATCTTTGAGAGTCAAATAGTCACTGGGATATAAGACGTAATTTGCAAACTCTCATTAGTTTGCTTGGTTTCTTGTTGTCTACAGCAGGTGACACGGCGCTGGAATGACTGAACTAGTGTTACATGAGGCAGCCGTCAATGGTGAATGGCAGACACTAGAGAGCATGCTGATGATTCACCGAATAGATATTGACCACAAAGACGAAGACTTTGGCGACCGGACAGCTCTTCACTGGGCAGCTTCTAAAGGTCAGTAGACAGCAATTCCGGACATAAGAATTTAGATTTACGTAAATGATCTAATACCTAGCCTCCCCCGCAGACATTCTTAGGCGTGCGTCACGCGTTCCTTCCCCACACGAACGCCTAAGAATGTCTGCGGGGGAGGCTAATAGATGCCAAGGGTGTTTAGTTACTGTTAGGGGTCCAAGAGGAGGCGACTAGTAGAAAGGAGGCAACGACGACGGCGACGGCAACGAGAACTTCAAAAAGGGAATGTTATTTATTTCAACAGCGACGTTCTTGTCGCTGCGCCACCGTCTTTGTTTGCTAAAGCTTCCTAATATCAGCTTTAACTGGTAAATGTAGACAGACTGTGTTAAATGAAGTTGAACATCAACGTGGTTAGAAAAAACGCCAGTGGAAACCTTTTCAAAGAAACAGGCTTGGAAATCTAAACATTTATAGCGGAAGTCTCCCTCGCGGTGGTAAGTAGTGACTTGTAGTCACGTGACCTTACGTCCGTCCGTCCGTCCGCCTGCCCGCCCGCCCGCCCGTCCGTCTGCACCAAAGGCATACCAATGTAAAGTAACTCAATCAACAGGTATTGCAACCCAAATGTAACTCGGGATTTTTTTGGCGGGAAATTTCATGGTCACCAATAAGGAGAAAAAGGAAAGCGGAAATTATTTCTTTGTCCGTGTTGTCTATGGTACTAAGCCTAGATTAATTGCCATGTCGACAAATTTGGAATATAGAGAAAGAGAAAGGCAGAGACTGAAACGAGAAAGTGGGCGACAAGCTAGCGAAGCTCAACGAGAAAAAGAGCGACAGAGAGCTAGTGCGAGAGACAAAAAACAAAGGAGACGAATTTCGTTGGAAGAACAACATGAATATTTTGAAGTGGCGTTCTCGTTGCCGTCGCCTTTTAGCATTACAGTCAACTCCCGCTAAGACGGACACCTTTGGGGACCGGGACCGGCAGTAAGTGTCCGTCTTAGAGAGATGTCTTATAGAGAGCCAAATAAAGAGAGTAAAGAAAGGCAGGGACCAACTCTAGGTGTCCGTTTTAGGGAGGTGTTCGTCTTATAGAGGTGTCCGTTGAGAGGGAGTCGACTGTAGACGATTTTATTTTTTCAGTAAATTATAAGCATATTAACGAGAGCTTCGATTTTAGCCCTGGCTAAATCTATATATTAGACCCAGCTTGATATTCATGATCCATGATCGGTTAGACCAGCCTGAGAAGGAACTCAGGGTAGAGCTGTTCCCGCCGAGAAATAATTTCTGCTTGGCAGTAAGACCGCTCAATTAAAGTACTAAAGACGCATTGTTACAGGATTGGCCTACTAAAAGACTATTCCTAAGGTTCATCACTCAGTGCCCGAGATTGCGTTTCTTGCGGCTGAAACACTTACACGTGTTTGTATTCCACTTCGTTACCTCATTACGCGGCGCCACAGAGCCAGGTCTTCTTTTCCCTCCTCCTTTCCACTTCTTTTTTGCACTTTGACAAACTTTTTTGAGAATACAAACGCCTTTAAATTTTGAAATGGAGTGTCTAGACAGCAATTCTAGACCGAGAGCGGTCGTGCTTCTGTCCTCAGAGCCACGTGCAGCGTAAAAAGGTAAAATTATGGAAATTAATGGTAAAAAGGAGGAGAGATTGGGGCGAGGAGAGAAAGAAGTACTAATGATCAAACGTCGAACTTTTCATGAGACGAACCCGTCGAACTTAACTAAGTGGCGAACTAACTTGAAAAGACAAAAAATTTGGCCACGCTGCTCGCCACCCTTGCGTGCTCTCGATCTACTGTGACACACACACAAAAAGAGACTGCTCGCAGTGTACAGCAATTCCTTAATTGAAGTGTCAATGCCAAAAAATGTTTGAACCATTAAAAGTGTCAACGATTTAAAAACGAACATCTAATTATAGTCACTGCTTTGACCTCCCAACTGGAAACGGAAACTCCATTTTCTACCTGTTCATCCGAGCAACGCGGAGGCGAAAGCGAGGGTTTTTAGAGCAAAGGCAGTACCGTCTTATGATCACGAGTGTTAGCTACCCAACTGTTAGCTTCAAACTATTTATTTTTCTTTCAGGACAGGCTATGTGATGGGAAGTTTCCACAAACGCTTTTCAAACTTGCTTTGCACTGAAATAGGCACAGAATACTAGTAGTGAGCACTTTAAATGACTATAGCACTCGATCTGTTTTCAATACGCAAGTTCCTAATGAGGAATTCAAGCGAAACCACTTAAGCTGTCCCAGGAGGGCGGCTACCTTAATGACCGCGAGCTGAAAATCAATATTCTTTGTTTGTTCACCCTCGAGAAACAATACCCTCTCAGACACTTGTACAAGAACTAGAGACTCGATGCAATAATTGTACATTTTAATAATTTGTTCGCTACTCGTTAAGCTCACTACACTCCTACAAGAAGCTCCCGGCTAGCGTTATTGATCGTCGTTAAAGTTTTGCGGCCTGTTTTTTGAAGAGGTATGACGAATCAAGAGAAACCGGCGACTAAAGCTTTGTTTAACAACAGCCACGACTTGCTTTTACACGAAACTTGTGCACTGGGAGATGACGGAAAACTGGAAGAGTTAGGAAGTTTTATCCGCGGCGGAAAGATAGATGTTAATTCGAGAGATGAAGAATGGGGTGACAGGACAGCGATGCACTGGGCAGCTCTTAGAGGTAGAGAGTTTAGACTGATGCCAAGTTATTTCAATCTGTTTCTCTAGGAGGATTAATTTGTCTGAAAGTTATTTAAAGTTTTGAAGACATAATTACACGGAGTTTTCTTCCCCTTCATAATCTCAATTTACCCTTGGCTCAAGCTGTAGAGAAGTCTGGTCCTTTTGCCAGCGGTTCACTTTGTACTGAAGGTTTTGTACTCAAAGTTTTGTCGCTGTGAGACAGTAAAATGCCTGGTCCTATGGGTGCGCAATAGATTGTATACAATATACAGACCAAGACGAAAGAGTCTCAATTTGATTTTTCTCCTTAGTCCTTGATTAGGTTTGACTACATGTGATGCAGGATTTTTTGAGCATCTTAGAACCTTTTCCTCGATTCACAACAAAAATCTAGATTTTGCTTTGAACTCTCAAGTGGAAAGGTTGTTAACAGTGACGCCTAAAACTTCTTAAGCCGCGTCTACACGAACAACCTTTCAATAGCCCTGACCAGGAAAAACTTGTCTTGTTTTCCATTTACACGGACAAATTGCAAGTTACGTTTATACGCCCCCACGCCGTTGCGGTGGTTCCCTTAATAACTTACCCGATTTCAGTTCATAACTGGCAAAATCTTTACTCCTTTTCGGATCAAAATGACTCAAAACTCATATCGTTTGGTACGGCACATACCTATATAGCTTACATACGGGAGTACCCCCTCCCTTGGGGTGTGGGATTAGCGCTCTAATTACTATGCCACTCATGGTTCCCGATTGGTCAACTTCATACGTAAGGATTATTAGCGTTCAATCCTGGACATATAGTTTTGTCCTAATTGAACAGTCCCCCGTTTATTTCGTGCAGTGCTGCTTAGCGGGTCTGACGTTTGTTCAAACTTCAGTTTATTCGGGTTTCTTGACAGCCGTATATCGTGCGATTATACCTACTTCCAGGGGCTATTCTTCAACAAATAAATGCCAGAGGGGCTAGCCTGCAGTGCAGGCGTATTTTGGGCGGGCGAAAGCTGCTTGATTATGTTCCTACTGTTGTAACCGCCATCTTTGTTATGTCGGGGGAAGATTAGGGAGAGCAAAAATAGTAACCCTAAGGGTAGGTGCTTGGGCGAAAGAAGGAAAGAGGGGAGGGGAGAAAACACTACAAAAAGACTATTCCTAAGGTTTTCTCTTCTCTCTTCCCGCCCTTTCCCCGCTCCTTTCGACTCACCTCATTTTCTCCCCTCTTTTCGAGTTTAAACATGCGCTTTCGCGAGCAAAACATTCGCTCGCCCGAAGAAAACGCCTGCACTGCAGGCTAGAGGGGCTAATTTACAATTATCCTGAGAGTCAAACTTATAAGCGGCCCTCGGTTTTCTCAATTTTGCTTCCCATATTTACTGTAAATTTGACTTTCCTTGAGTGGACATCTCCATAAAGCGGACACGGTCGCCCTCTACTAGGCTTCCCCGCTGGCTAATTGTATTGCATTTTACCTCTATTAAACGGTCAGCTAGCCGTATAACAGGGCAATGGTTTGACACGACAGTAGACATTCCTGAATGGTGGTCCTTGGTTGGCATCCACCGACAGCGCACGGTCTGCAGACCCTTGTTATATGACCAGAGCTTTTATTGCAGCCAACCTCAAAGAAACCCCTCCGCTTCAGGGAGAGAATCAAAAGGAACCTCAAATAAAGAGAAACTCCTTTCCTCTGGATTAGTCGTCCGGGACGTTTCCGCAGCTTACAGGCCTCTTTAGGAAGCTCGCGGTCAATGAATCGGTCATTCTGTTTCAACAGTTTATACTAGATGGGACGCTCTGCTGTTGCTGCTAATAATCTAGCTACTTTGTTCAGTCCAAGCAAATTTGCCTTTTAGTTCGATTAAGCGTTCACTGGCTGTTTCCCAAGGGTGGCTGCTTAATATGATACAGGGTTGAGTATCCTTTCCGCTTTTTGTTTCCAGGTCATGCTAAATGTGTGAAACTTCTTTTGGAATATGGTGCTGACCCAGCCGCGCGCATGGTAGGAGGCTGGACGCCGGCTCACTGCGCGGCAGAGACTGGACGCTTCAATGTACTCAAAGTCTTTATCGAGCAGAAGTCCCCTGTTATGATCCCGGACAACTCGGGAGACACTCCGAAAAGAGTGGCAGAAATCTATGGACACGCGTCTTGTGTTGAACTTCTAGAAAGGTAAATGTTTTTAGAGAAAGGCACCAGCCTTCCAATCTGCGGCTGTTCGCAACCGATGAGTGCAAATGACTATACAGCTGTCTTGGGGCCCGTTTGTATGAAGAAAGGTTGTTCCAGGAAAGAGGTTTACCCCCCCAGCTGAGGGAGCGCGGAAAAAGTTGACCCCTGTGCCCGAGCCAATAGCGTTCGCGCATGCTCTGATTGTCTCGCCTTGACCGAGCTGACCCAGCAGAGTGAGCCAAAGTGTTTATATGGAGTAGCCCGCGTAGCAGGCGTCAAAAGGGGATAGGGAGGAAGAAAAAAACGGGAAGGAGATGGATTAAGGAGAGAGCGTAAGGGATGCCTGCTATAAGAACCCCCGTTTGTTCATTTCTGCGTCCGCAAATTCCTGATTGGCTGAGCCGTAATGGGTAATTTATTGGTGTGTATTCTGGCATGTATTAGTGAGAGACAACCATGCATGATGCAGGCATTAAGGAAATAAGTTCTACTAGCGTAAGCTTTAGAAGATCAAAATTACTCCAATCATGTAGCAACTTCACGTTGAAACCCGAACTAGAACCAACTGTAATAGCATTTTTAGCAGGCAGAGATGTTCAGGAAGTTTTGTGTACTAGATTTGTCCAAACACTGAGCTGCGATTCGAGGCGATTGCGATTCTTGCCAGACATCTGCAATGCAGAAATTCACAAGAGCACCGGTTATAATTACTCGAAGAATTTTAGAAGCTGGACACGCGTCTTTTCCGCAAAAACATATACCGTCTTAAGTGAACTTCTAAATGGTTTGTAAAGAGAGAGCTGAAGCTTTGGTTAAAACTATTGGCGGTTGAGCCGTTTGATAAGTGTTTACAATTCTCCTTTCATTATTCGCGTCTCAGGTAGCCTGTTCGAGGCGTTCAGATAGTAGAGCGCGGGAGAAAAATTCACGAAGAAAAAAAAAAACAGGGGAGACTAGAGGAGGAAAGCTCGTCCCCCGTTTTCCCGGTGTATAACGTAAATCGCTTCTCACTTACCGCCGCGTTCTACTATCTGAACGCCTTGAACAGGCTACTTCTCAGGCTGGCGAGTGTTCTATTCTTTGTGACCATTGTGACCATTGTGACCAGTGTGTTTTTTTTTATTTGATGAGGTAAGACCAAAGGTCTTGTGAATTCACACGAAACTGATCATTGTTTGTCGTGTTTGCTGCGGGAGCAAGAACTGTAAAAATGTATTATTTTGCTCGATTATGATATCATTTGAAACAGGCCTGCATTTGAAAAAATTTCCGGTAAACAATTCTTGGTTTTCAAGTGACGTCACAAAAATCCAAACTCCTAAATCGCAAGTACTTTTAAGATTTTATGTCCATCTAGCAGAAGATCTCTTAAAAATAAACTTCTGTGCAAGTTTTCAGCGTGATAGCTATTTTTTGTGGCCGACTTTGTACTAAGAACGCATTTTCCGTCTGGAAGAACTTGGGCAAACATTTGTAGTTTGTCGGGTTATGCGTCTCAAGTATAAAGACGGGCACAAGACGCGTTATGTGTCTGGACGAACTTTCCTTCGAAGTACGTCTTGAACGACGCAGTACGAAAGGTAGTTCGTCTGGATGCATAATGCGTTTGTGCCTGTCTCTATACTAGAAACGCATAACCAGATGAACTACAAAATGTTTGTACAAGTTCGTGCAGGCGGATAATGTGTCCTTAGTATAAAAACGGCCAATGACAAGTATATTAACGAGAACTTCGCTTTTAGCCCTTGCTAAATCTGTATATTACGGCAGTGTACGAAAAGTTGGCGCGCCCAGGGTAGCTGGAGTAGGCCGGTGACCCTTTTACCCGGGACAGCCTTTCTATCTATGACCGTGGCTTTACAGTGCTGTCGCGCCCTGCTCTGTTGGCTTAGTTGTGTTGTGCTGCTGTCTTGCAAAGCTAATTTTCTGCTAATTTTCTGGAATCAGCGTTACTGCCTTGTTTGTTGATTGCAATTTACAACTTCGTTGCTTGATTTTTATTGTTATTATTTGAGCGGCGCCCAAATTAAGTTTCCGGGATCGCCAGATTCGCTTCATGGTTGCAATAGGTCTGCGGGCAGTACTGGGCATATAAAGGTAGGTCTAGTCTACGAACGAAGAAGTATTTGCGTTTGTCGCTTCTTGCTGTCTTAGAAGTAGAAATACATCTGGGCTCGCAGTTTAGGGAAAGGCGCTCCCCTAATGTAGTTTGTCAATGGTAGGAAACAGGTGATTTTACGAATTGTCTTTGTTTGTTGCAAGAGTTTTTGAGATCGTAAATGTGGTTCATAAGAGACATAATTAAAGTTGTATGTTGTTCTCATTTATTTTTCGCCAAGATGGCAGACTTGGATCAGTCGGTAGAGCGCATGACTGCAGAGCGGGAGGTCGCGGGTTCGTTTTACGGGTGACCACGTAAAATGGCGGGAGACGTAAAAAATTGTGTCGTGGTTCAGATGAGTAAAGAGATTGTTTCATCACTCTCACCACCTCTATGTACAACAATACGCAATTTCAAAACAATAAACCAGTCTAAATTTGGAGTGAAAAGGATAGATTCGTGGCCCAGCTACACTGAAGCATTCAAAATAGCCCATGCAGGTTCAACTTGTCTATGCTTAGCTCCAAAAATTTATATTCTTACGTTGAAAATGGAACATAGAATGGAATAACTATTTTCCCTTATGTCTGTTGGAGAAAGGCTGCCTGGAGGCATAAAACATTGAGTGAGAGCGGAGGGGAAAACGCAAAACCTCCGGCCATCCCCTTCCCTGACATTTTCATTTATTTCCTTTCACGTTTTTCTGTTTTTTTTACATGTACTCGCCCAATTACACGCTTTCAAAGCGTCTTGTTTGTCTTTACTCTTTATAACGACAAGGCTGGAGCCCAGCCAGGTCTCCTCTCCTGCCTCGAGAGCTGATAATGGAAAAGGGAAATGAAAAAAAGCGGATGACTAGGATTGACAGCCGTCGGTTGCAAAGAGACTTGTTTTTTACTAAATTTAGTAACTTATGGTAATACCACTGATCGTAATAGGCTATATTCACGATGACAACTCAGGACAAGTGGCTCAATCTTAATGAAGATTTCTTAGTCATTTTCGTCATCGCTCGTCGTTCAAAGAAAAAAACTGAGTGTCCAACTGTCCAAACGACGTTTCAGCGCTTGGACAACAAATTATTTCACGAAGGTAAAAAATGTTCATTTTTGGCCATTTCTTTTTCTCTTTTTTCAGTGTCGAAGAGTCGCCAGTACAGAAGCAACTTCTTATTCGCGACAAGTTTCGCACCAAGACAAGGAAGATTTCACGAATAGTAGCTGAGAAAGGCCTCGAGGGTCTTCAGGATAAGGCCATAGAACCTGCAAGCTAATGGTTGGTGATTTTTTCCTCCGTCTAAAATTTCTTATGGTCTACTTGTTACATTTGCTATCAGAATATGTCTTTAAAATCGTTGCATCAGAAGCAGTCATTCTTGGTGCTAACAGATTTAGGGTGACCTCGCCGAGTAACTCTTGAATTATGTGAGGACATGAGAACAACTCAGAAAAGCTCCGTGAGTTTGTTTGGGGAATTGACGCTAGACAAACGCAAGCGCCACATCAAAAGTCGCGTGTGCTGGTTATAGATGACTTCATTTGACAAGGATGCTTTTTCTTCCTGGTTAAATGAACCGCGATATCTTTATCATCAACGTTAGTTTACATCAAGTCTAGTCATGGCGGTTCTTCTTGTCCAGTTCTACAGTTTAGTGGAGGCTCCTCAACTCGCTCACCATCAGAGTCTCTTTACTTTTGTCAGAGCTAACGATTATATTCTCCATGTATTTTGGCATGTATTATCTTTTATTATTAAGAGGTGCTTTGCGTCGGAACATCGTCACTTTGAATTGCTGCGAAAGCATGGGCCTCTGTCGACTCCTGGAGAAACAGGTAATCGAAGCCTACGCGTGGGCAAGCGGGAATTAGGGCACGAAAGATAGTCCACGTCAGTAGTTGGTATAGTCAAACCGGGGGTCCTGGTCTAAGCTATCGTCAGTTATCTATGAATGCAAGAAATGCGTATCTTACCAACCCTGGCGAACTTCGGTGTTGCACCGCTCAAGTTAAGCCCTGCTGGTAGCGGTTAGAAACCGGATGGGTGATCAGCCGCGAATATCTTGCTGTAGGGACCGTCCTACTTTTTTTCTCTCTTGTCTTATTCTTTTATTTCGCGCTTTGGTATTCAAAGCCTCGTGAATCTTTATATTATGACAAATTTACCGAATTAACTGAGATGTAAAAATCGAAATACCATTGATAATTTACGATTCCGCGTAGCAAGACATGCAGTTTCGATTGAACCGTTCCCATGATTCTGCTTCATTCTTTTGCTGTATGAAAGGAGCTCTTGACAGGATCTTCACGTTACCGCGACTGTAAACAACGCATCTACCCACCGATATAAGCCCGCATTGGCCAAGCTCAGAGTACTTTGATTTTCAACACAAAAGTTGTGATTGTTTACATCCGGAGCCCGCATATAAGAGCACTTCCTACGTTCAAAAGAAACGGTTGCTGCTAAATTCATGGCGGTTTGAATTAGAAGTTTGCATGAAACACTTGTAAAACACTATTGTACCACATTTTAAATTATACATTATCAGAGTTTTAAACTTGTCATGACAGGATTAGTTTTGTACAAAGGCTTGTGTAAGATAAAATGACAGAGACATAATTAAAGTTGTATGTTGTTCTCATTTATTTTTCGCCAAGATGGCAGACTTGGCTCAGTCGGTAGAGCGCATGACTGCAGAGCGGGAGGTCGCGGGTTCGTTTTACGGGTGACCACGTAAAATGGCGGGAGACGTAAAAAATTGTGTCGTGCTAAATGCATTGATACTCAAATGAAGTGCAAGTGCATCGAAGGCACTTGTATACTCTCTCAGAGATATATATTTTTCTCGAATGGACCAACTTATCTCGATCTATTTATATGTATCCACTTTTCGTATTTTTGATATACAATTTTTCTGTTCCTTACTTGTGCAACCGAAAGGCATCACTTTCAGTTTACTTCTAAACGTTGCAGATTCCCTTTCCTCTCGCGGGGTGGCCTTTTAATTCCACGTTTGGCATTATTATGCCTGCGTGCGTCTCCAGAAGATCTACGTGAATCAATCCTAGATACCGGTCAAAGGTTCTTTTTAAATGAGATCTCGTTCCCACCTTTGTTTTTGGCCAGTCCAAGTGCTTTAAAAGATTAATGTTAACACTTAGACCACCTATGGTTTCAACGGATTTTGCCGTTGTCTGATTTCATCCTTCTAGTGTTTCGATCAGTATACTGCAAGAACGTTTCTAAAATTCTTGAATGATAACTGCTCACTGATGAGTGCTTTTTTAAGTGTGTGATGTTGTTTATGATACAGTGCAGAGTAGTCATTTCTAACTTTTGATCTTGTGTATTGAATCTGAGATGGGAATGCTGTTTTCAGCTAAGACAGCTAATATCTTGGAGTCGTAGAGCGCGGGAGGGTCAAAACCATTAAGACTTGGACCACCAAGCGTTTCTGTAGAGTACTAGATCGTTGATTTCAGTGAGTTTGTGGAAAGATTTATAGAGTTTGAGCCTTTATATAGTTGCTTTCTATCCCTTGGCACTATTTTTTTGCCAGCCTGTTTATTATGGAGTACTGGGTTGTTCTAACTTTTAATTAGTAAATGAAATCCTACATTGGAATGTTGTTTTCAAGGTGACCATATCGTTTTGGCTCATGTAGTCGTAGAGTCACTTAAGCTATTAAAGCTTTGACCAGTAGTAGTATTTCGAACTCGTTTGAGCCATTCACGCTGTTTACTTTTTTTCTTGTGGTGTTGTTTATGATGTAGTACGCGTTTGTGCTAACTTTCGCTCTCATGCGGGGTGAAATCCTGAATGGAATGTTGGCTAGTCATAGAGTTATGAGAGCTTTTGAAACTTCGCCCGACACATTTATAGAATCTCAAAGAACTCTTTGAGCCACTCACCACTGTGCAATGGTTCTGTGGCAGTGCTGTTATTTATACACTACAGTATACTTCTAACTTTCGATGTTGTGGATGGAGTCCCAAATTGCAATGGCTTTGTTTTCAGCTAACATCTTGGCCATTCTTAGACAGGCCTGAAAGTCATGAAAATTTGGACAACCTAGTGTCGTTGGTTTAATAGCCGATTACTAGACGATTTCAGCTGGGTTCATGGAATTCATTGGTTCATGTTCATGCGAGAAATGAAATGAGCACTTCTTACTTTGGTTACCCTTAACAATGTGCTGCAGTGTGGTTCGAGCGTTTGATCTTGTTATTGAAAGCCTAAATTGGAAAATAGTTCTCCGCTAATGTCTTATCCATATACGTGGAAACCTGATGGTAATTTAAACTCGGATTATTTACCACTTCCAAAGACATTGGTAGCCTGCCAAAAAATCCACCTTTTAACTTTTCGCAGAACGTGCTCCTGCTGGGTCATGTACATAATAATAGAACCGAATTCAGTTGCTTGTTTAATTTTCTTCCAAGTCTAGTTTCTTGTCAAGTGCTAGTTGCGCCTTACGCACAGTGGCTACGAGAGGATTGCTACGAAGGCTACTTATTTATGTCCTTGTTTAAGGTAACATAACAAGATTTTTACTATTTTTCTCTGATTCTTGGGTGTCCACTTGACTCGGGTCGTCTCGGATATGTTTGTCTAACTTGCACTCTTTCGTCCCTCGCGGTCACTGAAAAAACATCGCGTGATCACACGCCATCGATGATCGTTCAATGACCCTCAATTTATCAGATCTCGGCATTCTTGGGACACGCCTATCGTCTGCAGACACGTTCTTTATTTATCTTTCCACCTTTAAACGCGTTTACTTTGGGACGGCGCCCTTGCCGTGCCTTATGGAAACACTCACTATCTGAAGCTTATCTTCCAGCTTCTGCTATCGTTTGAATCTGTGGATGAAATCCTGTGGTGTAACCACCTCAAATGATACCTCTTGGCAGTACTTTCACATTATTATTTATTCAGGATGTAATTCCTCATTTTTGAGTCCTTGGAATAATTCCTATGGTGAGACCATGTAAAGGAAACCCCTTTGGCGGTATTTTCACATGATACTCTTCATTCAGGATGTAATTTTAACTTCTGAGTCCTTGGAATATATCCTGTGGTGTGACCATACAAATGCAACCCCTGTGGTATTTCTTTTAGGTGATACTATTTATTCGGGATGTAATTCTAACGTTTGAGTCCTTGGAATAATTCCTATGGTGTGACCATATAAAGCAAACCTCTTTGGCAGTACTTTCACGTGATAATATTTATTTAGGATATAATTCTACCTTTTGAGTTCTTGGAATAAATCCTATGGTGTGACCATACAAATGCCACAGGACGAAACCACTTCAGCAGTACTTTAACGTGATATTATTTATTCAGGATTTTATTCCAGCTTTTGAGTCTTTTGAATAAAGCCTATGATGTGAGCATACAAATGAAACCTCTTTAGCAGTACTTTCACGTGAAAGTATTTATTTCAGGCTGTATTTCTAACTTTTGAGTCTGTGGAATAAATGCTGTGGTGTGACCAATCAAATGAAACCTCTTTGCAAATGCTTTAACGTGTTGCCATTTCTTTTTTTATATTTTACAAATAAAAAACAACAACAACAAAACACACAAACACAAAGAAAAGAACGGAAAGAGAAAAATGGAATTTGCGGCAATTGTTGTTGTGAAGGGATTGAAACAGGGTTTGCCCTTTTAGAACAAGCCTGGTATCAATAGGGACCCTGCCTTCTTTATGACTACTACAAGATGAAAAAAAAGCGTGTCATGAATATGTACAATAAAAAGTTAAAAAAGTAATTAAAAATAATCAAATTCATTTGTAATTAAAAACATTTTCCTGCCTACTAGGATGTAACTTACATACAAGCATTGATATAAGTGATATAAGATGAGCAATAGCAACCAAAGATTGATGGTGATGATGAAGGATTTAAACTAATCTACAAAAAACACCGTTTGGAGAAGTTTATTGATTTGCTGAAAGTAACATACGTGTCTCTTTCCGCCTACTAATTGCCTCCCTCTTCCCATTTACGCATTTGCCTCTCCTTTTAGCTTAGTATAGTTTTCCTTAATCTCTAAGCCTCACGTCATTTCATGTTCTATATTCAGGGCAAATGTCATACGGTACTCCAGGTAAATCCCAAACGATTAAATATGAACTTAAATCCTCAAGTATTTTTTTTGGCGAAAGGCTGAATGTTTAAATTTAATTATTTGTTTTCTACTCGAATATGTACATTTTGCCATTCTAAATTGCAGACAAATTTTGGAAAACAGTAGCGTTTGAAAGTGTCATGCTGAAGAGGCTCATTTGAATGGAGGCAAATAGGATTTTTTCCATGGACTTTTGTCTCCATATCATCTTCGAGTTTTGAGAGGTTTTTTAAAGTTTTTTATTCTCAGCGGAATGTTATGCATGCCTGTTCATTTATTATTTACGAAGTTGTTTTTTGCATTTGTTTTTGTTCACCGTGTTATTTCTTGTAACTGCCTTTTTTGAAGTTGTTAGGAATCTTGGTTTTTGTAATCTGCCAAACTCATTTAATGTACGGCTACCAATTGAATGAAGCTGAGGTTTTCTTTCCTATTACCAACTGAGCTACGAGCTCGGTCCAGCTTGCAACTGATTCAGTCTTATGGCGTCAACCGCTCCCTTACACAACTTTACTAGTGTCGTCATTGAATGTATTAAAAGGCACCCTGGTGATGCGACGTATAAAGGATTCTTTTTGGAGGCTTGACTAGAGGTTTTTTTGAGACGCTAGTGAAAGAGCTTTAGACTTTTCCTTACCAACTCCTACAGTTCTCGGAAAAGAGGTCTAGACTGTGGTGCAGCTCTAAAGTGCTTAAAAGTGAGCTTTTTTCTTTTGTAGACGATTTATTTTTATGCGCCATTTCCAAGATAGTAATCGTGAAAACTATTGCGAAAAACGCGCGGGACGTGGGCTGAGGAGAGAGAGAGTAGGCGCCTTCCCTAGTTTACGCGCGTCATTTTTTCGCTTGGCATATTTTCGTGACATCCCTTCTTTTGGGTAAAATGGCGCCAGTTTTTTAGGTTTTATAGCTATGCCTGAAAAAATCACCAAAAAATATTATAGTTATTGCTCTCTGATGAAATGTTTTTTTTATATCTTCCTCGTAACTCTACAGGAGAAATTTGTGTATGGGTAAAGGAACTGAGTAATGACTTAAGCACAAAATTGACCTAAAAAAAGAGGTATCCTCGTTACATGGCCCCTTTAAAATTTGCCGTCACATTTATATCATTGCGCCGGAATATGCCCCTTATCGATATTTCAGTGCTAACGGCATGCAGGTTGTTCATCACATGAGCATGAGTCTTCTGTGGCTCAGTTGAAGAGCATCTGGACTTTAACCAGATTTATACTGGTTGAAGAAACACAATTCTCCACCTTGAAATTACCAACGCTATTGAAGTTCGAATTACTGTTCGGTATGATAATCACACGAGGAGTAAAGGAGTGATCATACGACTCGAAGACAAGTGGCAGACCCTGGGGGAAGGGTGGACATTGACGATAATTAAGGCCCCCAGGGCCAAAGTGCCGAGATGCTTTATTTCGGCGAAAGAGCCTCAAGCCCTGGATCCGTCATTGAAGTAAGCTCGAAATACTAAGTCATAACTTTTTAAAACCATGGTTCACTAACCTAATATTTGTCCAAACGCTAAAAGGAAATGGAAGTGAGTAATTGCTATAATAGAGATAATGCTTGAGACACTAAAGAAACAAATGAAAAAAGAAAGGAAAAAAAAGGAAAAGAAGAACGAAAGAAAGGGAACATGGGACATCCTAGTGAGACACCAGCACGACAGACAACGGTCATGATAATAAGCAAAGAATTTAAAGAACTTCTTTTAATTAAGCAGCCTTGTCACCTTGTTTGGACTTGTTATGTTGCCAGAGGTGTTAGTCCTTCTTTTCATTGAACTCCTTAAAAAATGAGTCACCCCATTTGAGGACCGGAGGTGTTATATTCCCAGGTTAAAATTTTGAGTTAAAATAATCGGCTTATTTATGAACATACTAGTGGTCTAATTAGTCCTCGCCGGCCAAATTCTGGCATTTAGACTTCACCACATGCCATCACGTTTTGTTCTCAAACTGAGACGTTATTGCACTTATAATGAATGATACAAAATTAAACTTAAAAATTTCTAAGTAATGAAAATGATTTTGGAAATGTTTTCCAATGTCTTTCTTCGTGTGCCAGTGCATAAAAGTATTCCCCATCATGAGCAGGGCCCGGAGGTGGGGGGGTTAGGGTTGGGGTTAGGGTTTGGGGGGGGTGGAACTCAACCATTTTTTTTACGGGGAGGCTCTGCGCCGAGGTCTAACCCCTTACCCTTTTATATACCATTTTTGATGAAAACGGTACCCCTTTCGTATACCTTCTATTGACAAATGGTACCCCTTTCACATACCTTGTTTAGAACTTTGCATCCCTTTTAAATGCTGTAAATGCACCATATTTGAAATAGGAATCAGGCGCAAAATTAGAACGTTTTCTCAACTTTATAAAGCCTTAAAATTCATATGTTAGCCCTTTTAGGCCCTTTCACAGACCCAAATGACAGATTTCCCTACCCTTTCGTATACTTCAACGAGTAAAATCCCGACCTTTTCGTATACCTGAGGCCTGAAAAAGGTACCCCTTTCGGGCGGAGCCTCCCCGTAAAGGCCATTATAGAGAGTACCCCCTCCCCCGGGGAGCAGGGCAGGTAACGGGCTTGGCGCGTGGCTTGGACCACGTAAATGCCACTGAACTGCTCCTATGCACCTTGAAAACACCAGGGTCAAGACAGATAGCTGTACGAGTGAGTGACCACAAAGTTTTCCTTTTAGTTGAAGTACCAAACATCCTCTCATTGGGCTACCTCTACAAGAACCTCCCCCTCCACATCTTCCGACTCTAGAGAGAGAAACATGAAAGATGAGCATGTTGGGTAGCATTCTTTGATTATCTCTTCTAGTCAATTAGTGTTCCACAAATTTGATCCTTCGCCTTTTTCACTTGACCTTTGCACTAACCAATGTCAGGAGCCGATTATCTGCTAATATGGTTTAAAATTGGTTCAGCAGAAGAAACACGCAAGACAAATAATGCTACACAGTTAAATTTGTAAAATGTTGCTTTAAAGAAGTGATAACAATGAAAAATAAAGAAGTGAAATTGTATACTTGAACTTTTGGTGTTAATACCTACTCAATGCAGTTCTCTATTACACATCCTGGCCCTGGTTTTTGAAAATTGTTGATTCATCATGAAACAGGGACAAGTGAAGCGTCTAGTTTCTGTGTACGCATTTTGGACCTGTTTTACAAATAGCTTGCGCGCTGAACTTTGCACAGGGAAACCCACTAGTTGTTAAAAATAAGTTGATACAATATCGGATACTAATGTGTTCCTCACAATTGGCTCCATTGTGTAACTCAGTTGTGAAACATTTAACTACACCCTTGACCTTGAGGTTTGAATAAAGCTCTTTCTGGGGGTCGACTGGTTCCGTGTCGCCATCCTAAATTTAATACCGGCGAGTTTACTCTGTCGTGACGTACTTGTTCAACTTGTCAAGCTGTTTGAAGTTGCATGAGTCAACCTTTATCAGTATCATAGTGCTTGCTTTGGGTTAAATTGAATAAACACCGCTACTAATATAAGACCGTTAAAATATTTTTTCAAGTATGTAGTCGTGAAAGTATTTTTTTTACATTTCTCAGTACCTTTGCGCGTGGCTAATCATTCCCTTTTAGTCTATTTAGTCACATTAGCATACCCAAACCAGAACAAAAGCTTTCAAGAAATACTCAGTGTCGTTCGCTCGATATCGAAGCGGCTGAAAAGCGAGCTACTCAGCACGACCGCAGGGCTCAATGAGTGAATGACTCATATGAAATACCAGCACTCTGCCATTCCATTAAAATCTTGAAAATTAAGAGTGCCTCCAGATTACATAATACCGTTAAAGAAAAGCATATGGGTTTGATCCTGTAACGATAAAAAATATTGTTTTCTGATTCAGTTCTTGTGACCATAAGAAGTCCTACAGTCACGAGGGCAAATAATTGCGAGATAATTTATTTAATCATTGTTGTTTTTTCTGTCCTTAAATAACTTGAGAGTTTTCCGCGTATTTCTGTTACTTTGAAGCATACAATATCCCAGACACTTTAAAAATATTTTTGTAATTACGTGGCCTCACGTGGCGTGTAACTTCATGTGAATTGCTACTGTTTTAGAAATCGATATTGCCAATGCTTCTCATGATTAAAATTGTTTTACACGCGTAATTAAAGCCTTGTTCCACAATTGTACTTGCAGTGGTCACAATGCGTGTCTCTATGTATGTGTCATTTCAACACACACATTATGGATTATTTTCCATCCACGGCCTAGCCGCTTGTGCGTGTTGCCAAGGAATATCCCTTTAATCCAATTTGACCGTTTAACGTTAGAGTACGGCTGATTGCTACCCACGACTGCCGTACGTGCACAATAAGAGGTCATAAATCTCCATAACAAACGGAACATGGCGAAGAGGCTTAAAATGACCTGTTTGCACGACCGTGCCTCAGAGCGTCCGGGGAAAAAAAATAAGCAAATAGTTGTACATGTGTTTATCCACAATATAAACGTTTGAAACGTCTGGGGCATGGCGGTTCTATAACTAATCAATCATTTCGAGATGGGTGTCCATTACACCGAGGGAATTTTTGGATTGGTGTTTACGAGGGAAACGACGGGAAAGGAACACGTACATAAAAAGGAAAAGGATTAGGATCTATGCCACACTAACCTTATATTTCTTTTCTAAGACACAAACGAGCTGCCTTTGAAAAGCGTACCTGTGAATCTAATCACTCATAAAATCTTGCATTTTAAGGTGGCTCCAATCCGAATAAACACGACCACTGCAACTAAGGAAAGGGGTTAATACTTTTGTACTGCCCCTGTTTGTGCTTCAAAACGAATTAAAGAAAGGACTTATGAAGTCCTTATAAGGTCAGTGTTAAGTTTGGAGTGAAAAGGAACAATTGTAGCCGATTTGGTTTTAGAAAAAGAATATCTTGGAAGGCTTGCTAACCATCGAATCAATGGTATCTGCAAATCAGCATAGTCAGACCAGCTTTTGTCTTAGTTGAGGGCTTAGTTAGGTACGTCCAAAAACACCAGAAAGCGGAAGGCACGTACTAAGAAAGAGCCGTACACGTTTGTAGAGACTGTTGAACAATAAATTCATTCCTCCACTGGATGTTCAACACTACTGAAATCTTAACAGCACCCCAAAGTCTGCTCTTATACTTATATCTCGTACCACTCAGAATAAAAATGTGAAAGAGTAACGTCAGCGTTCTCGTACTTAAAGTTGTCTGAAAGGATACTAAATTTCCTTGCGTGAGCGTTGGATGATGCATCCATTTATTTTTTACCATCGCAAGGGATATGTGATGTTGATCAACTTATAATGTAAGGTATTGTTGCAAAAGCCTTAAATACAAAGGGTTTTTAATGGTCAACTAATCCGTTCTTAGAAGTAAAGCCGTTTGATCCAGAGTCCCTAGGGCCAGTACTCGTTTTCTCGCTAATACTCGCAGACAGGCTTTTGACCTGCGCTTACTATGGATCCGGCTGTTTGTCAAAATCAGTCAAGCGCGTTAACCTTGAACTCAAACGAGAAAAACAAATGTGGCAGCGTCAAATTTGTTTGCCCGACACCTCCCACTAATTCAGCTAGCACTACAAACAGAACAGAAAGGACTTTGCGTGCCCACGACCGAGATCTCTCAAAATACCTCTTGACGTGCAAAAAGTCATTCCATCCTCCTCATATAAGAGTTGTGCAACGCTGGTTTAGACATTCCTACTTCAATTTCATACAGTTCACGTACATTTGAAGCGCTAATATTGGATCGCCAACATGTTCTGGGAATACCTAGACGAAATCTTTTCGGCCCATTCCTTTTTCATCATTTCTGTCGCCCTTGTGATTATTTGGTTGTCCTTAAGATATGCTTGGCCGTCGTCAGATGGAAAACCACCTGGTCCTTGGAGCTTACCCGTTATTGGCAACATATTCCTGTTCGGTAAAGCTCCTCACAAGAACGTCACAAGGCTCGCACAACATTACGGAAGAATCTTCTCCATGAAACTTGGAAGTCGGGAGGTCATTATTCTTAACGACATCGATACTGTGAAAGAGGCTCTGCTTCAAAGAGGCTCTGACTTCTCGTCTCGTCCTCCCCTGCACAGTTTCATCACTTCAAGTCGAGGTGAGAGAACGGTCGCGTTTACCGTTTTTGGGCCCAAATACGCCAAGAACAAACGAGCGGCGGAGCTAGCCATGCGAACCATCCTTGACAATGACACTTACCTCTCCAGTACTGTCCTCAAAGAGACGCATGGTTTGATCAAGAGTTTCCTGAACTCTGAAGAGAGCCGGTTTGATCCTTCTTTTCTGCTGAGATTCTTGGCCTGCAGTTTACAGTTTCGTTTGTTTTTTGGAGACACGTTGCGAGATTCGTATGTGAAGAAAGCACAATTCATGATGGATGGATCGACTGACTTTATAGAAAACAGTGCGGTAGGAAATGGCGTGGACTTCATGCCATGGATGAAGAGACTGTTCAAGAAACAAGTACAGAAGTTGGACGAATCCGTGGCTGAACTTGTAGACTTTGTCAGGAAAATGTACGTTTTGCTGAAAAGTGACTCAGGTTTACAAGTGAGCAGTGCTGGAGAGACTAGCTTTTGCAAAGCACTGGAACAGGTGGTACAAGACAAGGGGGCGTTGGAGTTCGGAAATGAACACTTAGTAGACGAAAACGATGATGACAACTCAAGCCACTTCGACGACGAAAGGCTGATTAACATAGCAGCTGAGAGCTTTGGTGGAGGATATGAAAAGTTATCCACCGCTCTTCGCTGGGCCATAGCATATCTAGTGTCACACCGAGATGTACAGACTGAGCTGCAAAGAGAGCTTCGGCGGGTTAAGGGATCTTCGCCTTTGTCTCTTCACGATAGAGACAAACTGCCTCTCTTGGAGGCGACAATTCTGGAAGTCCTTCGAATGAGCAGCTTCATGCCTTTTGCCTTACCCCATTGCACGACCCGAGACACCAGTGTGTCAGGATACCCTCTGCCCAAAGGATCAATCGTATTTATAAATCTTTGGGCATGTTCTCGAGACGCCAATTACTTTGACAGACCAGACGAGTTCAACCCCTATCGTTTCATGGACGAAAAGAGACTGAACATTGTTCGCTCTCCTTGCTTCCTGGCGTTTTCTGCAGGGGACAGAAAATGTCCCGGAGAGACCTATGCAAAGTCTGTCCTTTTCCTGGTGCTGGGTACTTTGCTGCAGAAGCTTACACTTCGTAATGGAACCGAGGACCCAATTGAAGATACCTTTGGAATGATGGTTCGCCCCAGGCCATACAAGATCCACGTTGAAGCTGTGTAGTGAACATAATTTTCAGAGCAGACGATTTTATGTCGCTTAAGATAATGAGGAAGTCCGCGTAGAAGGATGATGCACTACCGGGCCAGGTGAATCAAAATGAGTCATAGATCTCAATGATGAGACGATGCAGTGCCTTGCACTAAGAAATGTTACATTATGTGCTTTACTTTAAAGGAAAGGTGGAATTCTGAGAGACATTTTAAATCATTGAATAGCTAAATTGCACATTATTATTGTTTTTTATTTCAGTACATTGTCTTGATCTTTTAGTGTAGTTTTTCTTAGATAAAGCCTGTTTTAGGAATCGAATATTATTTCAGGGTAAAGAGGTTAGATCTCTGTTAAACGATCTGCACTTTTCTGGGCAGTGAAAAAAGATAAATGGAGAAAGCCTGTTTTTTTATGGCAGGTCTGTTATTTTGCCGTTTTTCTTTCTTTTTTTTTTTTTTTTTGTTCGAACCGTCAAGGTCACGGTAAATGCACGCTTGTCACAGTAGTTCGCACGTCCGGTTGTTATTTTTAAGGTTTCTTGGTCAATTTTACGTACGGCAAACTTTCGGTAATTGCTTAGAGCATCTATTGTCTACAAGGATACTTTACGTTCTGAGAGAGTGCGTGAATTGACGAATATAACCAACTTTTGTATATCGTGGCGACACAGCTTATTATTATTACTAAGCGGAGATAACTCTTACAGAATTACCAATTTTCAAAAACAAATATTTTGCGTTGATAAGACCCCTTCACCGAACACAGTGCCCAGGATCAATTTTTCACAGATGTATTCCTGAATTAACACTGAAGAAACCAAACCGTCCCGCAAATAATGCTTACACATCCACAAGCTGGCGCAAAAGTTAGAACTAAATTGTATGACTAGCAGTCTTGACCATCTCGCCTTGTAAATTGGAACACATGAGCTGTTTCATGACTGTAAAGCACTAAGAAACCCAAAATTAGGCCTGGGAGTTAAGTAGGATGCAGTTAGAACTGTTTTGGTCTGGTGTTGAATATTTATTAGAAACTGTTGGATATCCATGAACTGTATTCGCAGCTACGTCCTTGACTGAATATTTTAAAATAAAAAATAAAATTTTATGCCGTTGAGAACTCTGCAATGATTTTCTTTGTTATCGCGGGACACCTCAAAGGGACCCCACCACTGAAACCGGCTCCTATTTGCCAAGACCCAAGAAAACAGGTTTAAACGGATCCTTTCAAATTATTTGTTCGAGGTTTAGTTCTCTGCAATGTGACCTCAGTGATCTGTAGATGTCGCAGTGCCGGATTGACCGACCAGAATCTCCAGTTGCACTGATAATTTCTTGACAGTTTCCTTTATTGCTTTATCAGGCGGGAGTCCGAATGGCGCTTTGTCACTTCTGTAATCTCATCCCTTGTGCAACATAGCTAAGCGTATACTGAGAACTTTTGTAAAACTGATCACGAATTCCGATGCAAAACGGGAGTGCACAAAGTGACTTTAATTCTGTTACCGAATGATCTCACAAACTCGAACTAGAAATATTGCATGAGCTGGTTTTTTCTAAATTGAAAAGAACCTCAAGTAGTTACCCTGAAAAAAAAGCAAAACAAAGAAAAAAAGAAAAAAATGTTGTACGGAATGATAGTATTTTGTCAGCTAATTGTGGTATCGCAGTATTTTATCCCGGTGGTCAAATCTTTGAAAGGAAATCATAAAATCGTCTACCCTTCAATTTCAAATGTACAAAAAAGGGGATGCTTTCGTCTTGACTAATTAGTGAATCCCCAGACTTCAGTCATTTGCACAGTTGTGGCCGGCCTTGAAAATTAATTTGCACGGCATCTAAGTGGGATGAATTACAGCATGCTGGGGCAGTTCCCTAGTCAATTAAGATGTGTTTGATGGGCGAACTAGATGAGCATTTCATGGATTTTTAATGTTATTGACGTATTCGGCAAAGACTGGGTGGGTATATTTCTTAACATTACCGACTGTACTTGGTCTAGTCACAACTTTGTTCGTCGTTTAAGATAAATTCCCATTTAAACGGCTTAAGTAATTGCTACGACTATTTGTCTTGATGTAACATACAGGCACACACTAGTACTCTGCAGCTGCATGACTGCTCGACTACTCTTCCAGACTTTTCTATTACATCACTTGTCCGAACCGATCGTGTACATGAATTTAATGGCTGACATGAGAACCGTTTAATTTCATCTCCAGCAATAGTTTTGAGTTCAAAGAGGACTTTGCTAGCAGGGAATGAGTTCAATAGAGGCTGCTCCTAGTCTTTATCGAAATACACCTGGAGGTATTGCAAACCTTCCAAACCAGCCAGCCGTCGTCATGCGACAAATACTTGCCCTTGGTTTTTTTTGGGTGGATATCACAATTTTGAGGTTCGTCAGCACATTCGAACGGCGCCACCCTTCTCAATCGATCAGGGGCACCCAACGACGATTTCCTCCTAAATACATTGAAAACAGTTTTTAGGCTTTCCTGAGTACTATTAGATCTTTAGAAATGCGTTCTAAGTGGACTGGCGCTATAAAATTTGTATGTGTTAGGTCATCCTAGGGAACATGAGTCTTTTTCGAATTACAAGGGCTTCAGTCAGGTATTATTTTCCAAGTTCCCGAAAATTTTAGATGTAATTTAACGAATTACGAAAGAATGAATTTTCCCAATTCCTCTGTCCATCACATTTTTCAACCCGAAAATTTTTGCTTTCCTTTTTTCGAAGAAAAATAGCCTAACCTGGCGAGTGAAATGAGAAAAATTAAACTTCAGAAATCTTAGGGAATTTATAAGATAAGCTTTACGTGAATGGAACGGTCACCTAGACATTTTTAGCTGTCCTCAATTAATAAAAAATTCTAGGCATTATTTGCTTCTCTGAACAGATATTTTACAGAAAACAGTCGTTGGGGCCCCCGATTGATGATGCGCCATGTTTCACTTTTGACTAGGGAAGAACTAATACGAGGCCAAGCATTTCAATCCCTTTCTTGTCATCCAGTTTTTACCTTGCGCGCTGCTTTAAAGATCCTTTGGGAGCTTTGCAGTGGGCAGAGGTTATTTCATCTTCGCCAGGTCATTCGCAGACAATTTTTTTTTGGATAGCCAACTCTGTGAAAGGCGCGCATATAGAACTGTTTCTGGGTAACTGTAAAGGCAATTATATCTTTGGCGGTGTTCTTGTATCGTGCGTGCGATTTTAATAAAGGCTTTTAGGAAAACCGTACTTCCTTGTGCGCTGCTTCGTAAGTTACTATTCGGGGAAAATCTGTAAATAGCTTATCAGATTTAGCGGGTATTCGGTCCATTCTTGATAGGTTAGCTTATGTTTAATGCGTTCTGTGCCCCTAGGACCACGTGCGTATCGTGCAAGGTTATAACTTGTTTGTTGTTTAACTCCTCAAGCCTGCTTGCGGTCAAGGGCAAATTTTCGTAATTTAGAGACATTTTAAATAAATAAAACACAGCAGTAGTTGGTCTGAAAGATTATCTTTAATTTTTTTATCCTTAATGTAATTAATTCAAGACTAAACTGAAAAACTGAACACGTCATTGTTTGCCAAGGGCATTTTGTAATGCCATGACATTCCTACGGGAAAAATTGGAATTTGAATTGCTCACGACAGTTAGATTTTGTTTTATGCTGACGCGCTCTGACAAGGCAATAAAACGATAAAAACGCACTGTTACGATGAACTTGATATTTGATGACGTCAGCAACCCTGCTTGCAACATCTAGAGACTATAAGCATGACTTTGCAATTACACAAGATTACGCCATTTTGGAAAACGTTAGAACTCATTTATGGAGCTGCCACCCTACCTTCAGAGTTTACCACCTCGTCTAAGTCATAGAAAAAATCATGAATACGCGCATAAATGCGGTATGGGCAAAATGAATCGCCGATTTTATTCTCCTTCGTCACACTTTTTTTTACTTAAAATATATCATTGAAACTGTTACGGGGACGTTTGTGTCTAGGAGAGTTGGTCATGCGAAATGGCCTTGGCTGCTTTCGCTTGCATTTGTAATGTTACCTGCGGCCTTCCCTTTTGTGAGTGCAAAGAAAACGGTCTGTTGTGTTAAGAAAGCCTAAACAGGAAATGAGCGCATTCTTTTATCCAATTGTCAAGATTTGATTGTACTAATGTAAGACCCTTGACTGTATCCGTTGGCTTGTATATTTTAAAACAAACAATATAGCGGCGATCGTGCTGCACGATATTTTCCTGCTTTAGCTGCACGAACCTACTTTTGATAATTCGAGTTGGAACCCTATATGCTCACGTGCTCTGCCCCTATATCGCCAGGTAACAGTTAAGTACATGTTTTTTGTTGCTTAATCCCTAAGTGTTTTTGCTTAGCTGACCTTGGAATGAAATGGAAATCATGCGAGACCTTCGTGAATTTTGCATACAGGAGGTAACAGCACGATCCACACACAATACTCAGAATTTGCTAGTTTTCTGAAGTTTTTGTGATCGGAATCGCTTCAATCTTGTCAAGCATATCAAAGGTCATAATAACAAATGTTTTGTCTCCAGTTTATTTGTGAAAGTGAAACAGTGTAGCTCTTGTTCCATTTGCAGACAAATAGCTTTTAAACTTTTATGCAAAGCACGGTTTAAACTGTACGCCGCCCCTGTTTTCCTTCGGAGATATCAGTATTTCGTACATGTGAAAAAGTATGTCAGTTTAACCTATTAGAGGAAATTTCTGCTGTTCCAGCGTTAAAAATATACTTGGTATAATATTAATATTGTTTTTACTCAACATTACCTAATAAATTTCAGTTTGCAACTTGGAGTGGCATGTGGACATTTTATGTCCAAAGAAATCATTTGTTTGTTGAACTGGCTGTGATTTCAGTTTTGGAAATTTGGACGGTTATTTTCTTAACTTCTAAACTGTGCTAAAATCATTTGTTTAACGACCGTATAAAGTTAAGAGACTTCCCTTGCACGCGATCAAAGTGACATTGGCCTTGGCACGTTGACGGGGCTCCGCCCAGTTCAGCATGGGTTTAACCATTCCCAAAAGACACCAAGCCACTTGAAGGGTATTCCGTCCAAAAAAAATTAAACTACATGTATGCATTAGTAGAGTGAGGTATCGAATGTAAAGTAAACTTCCTTAAGTCAAAGAAGGCAGAAAAATATGATTTTTGGCCTACGACTTTAATTATGAATTCGCTGGTTACTGTACATGCCGCTAGCTTGGTAAGACTACTACGATGTGCTACCTGTGTCCAAATTTACCAA